TCGATACTAGACCGGAAACGTCTCCGTGGATTAAAGCGACGATAAATAGCTCCCGTAATGCACGCCCAGTCTTCTAAAGAATAGCCTCCTTAAAATAGGTAACCTAGTAACGGTTATCGTGTAGAAGCCCGGCTATAACGTAGGCCTCGCGGTAGGTATTATAGATAGTCCCCTCCACGGTATAAAGGTCGGTAAAGGAAGTCGGCCCTTAAACGGAGACTAAGAGTAACCGTAAATAATACGCCTCTTTAGCTATTAGGGGTATATACCGTAAACGACCGATTTAAAATCCACGCTGCCTTAGCTACTAAGTAAACTACTATAGTTTCCACGTATAACGGCTAGGAAACTAGTAATAGAATAACTCACGGCTATTAGCGTTATCACGGTTATAGTTGAAAAAGGCTATTCGCTAAGTCTTCCGCTCCTATAATATACGCTTAATCTGGCTTACGGTCGCGTTATCGCCGAAGTATATAGGCTATTATCCCTTAAGATAAACCGGAAGACGTATAACGGGCGGATATTTACAGTGCACGGGGAACTCGAATAACTAAATAATAGCCTCCGCGGGACCGATATAACGACTCTAGAGATAGAGGTTAACTTTATCTTCGCCCTTTTCGCCGGATATACGCGTAGTTATACGGTCAGTGCCCTTATAAACGTACTTATACACATACTTAATCGCCTAAATAGAACCGTAAATATTAAGGTTAGTATAGAATAGAGGTAGATATACGGGGGAGGATAACTTACCTTAATAGATCCGTAAATCTTAACGTTAATATAGGCATTATAGCGGAGGTAGAGATATAGGCTATAGGGAATAATAAAACGGTTATTAAGGTGGACCTCTCCTATATAGCCTCTTTTTATAATATATAGGCTAGAGTTACGGCGCCTGTATTCGGGATAACTATCCTCTCGTATAGTCGTTTTTAGGTAATACGGCTTAGGGAACCGCTTAGAGCACTTTATACGGTTCTTATCGTTAGGCTATAGCTATATACACGGCGTCAAAGGCTTATTATCACTATAAGGACTATATATTATATTTTGACTAATAATATTAAAAAGACGGCTAGTAGGATCCGACTCGCGGTCTAATAGCTCCGTAGAGATAACCTTATTAATAGTTACGGGGTCCTTATATATCTTAGCCGCCCGCGGCGTAAGGAAAAAAAGGATATAACGGTGTGGAAGACCGCGTTTCTAGTATTCTATAGTCTATATAATCCCCGTAAACTCACTAAATAGACTATCACGTAGCTACTATTCTAAATCACGGGACTTTAACTTAAATACACGGCTAACTAAATCGGGCCGGTTATTAGTAGTCTAACCTAGCTAAAGCTCCCGTATAATCTCTGGCTAGGTAGGATTAGCCGTAAAGGTAATAAAAAAGGTCGGAGTGCCGAGAGCCCGTATAGTTACTATAGAATCCTAATAGTATTATAAGATAAACCGCTAGCCGCTAATATAATTTAACAGTAAAACAATCCGTCGGCTAATACTACGGATATCGCTATTAGCCTTATAGGCCTAATCCCGTAAGCCGTTATATATATTAGCCCGTAACTAGTTCTGGTGCTACTAGATCTATAAAAGCTTCTTCTAATCGTAGGATATCTATAGGTCTACTAAAAACTACTAGAAAAGACGGCTATAGATAAAGGGTATAAACCTCTACTAGTATTATAGGTATAGTATATAACGGTAGAATTAACGGAATTTTACCTCGGTATTCTGCCGCTAACGGTTATAAATATCCTGTAAGTATAACTACTAGTAATATCCGGAACCGCCTCGCGGATATATAAGCGGGTAAGATAATGGTAAGTAGGTAGGATACTTATAGTCTATCCGCTTAAGGCCGCTAACGCTACTATTAGACCGTCTCTCTACGATAATAATATCCCTATAATAACGTTTACCCTACTCGTCCGGTATAATAGCCGTAATCTTATCCGTAACGGGTAGATTCTCGCGTCGTATATCGGCGCCCTACTTAATAACTAATTCTATACGGGGGTTAAGTATTATACGGCACTATTCGCGGAGGGAGTTAAAGCGTTCGCGGGCTATTTTATATAGGTTAACGAAGGGGTTATACTTATATAGAAAGTCCGAAATCTCCCCTAGAATATAACGGTTAAGCGTGGAGTTAAGGCTTTAGGTATTTATAAGGCGCTAGTTGGCGGTAGCCTACGGATCGTAAAAGTATAGCTAGGTAAAGGCGAGGAGTCGGCCTATAGCACTTAACGGCCCCGTATAATAGTAAAGGGTACCGTGGATCTAGAAAGCTATTACGCTACCAGTAGCGGCGCTTTAACGGGTCTCCGTATATTATATAGAAGTAAACGTAAAGGTATTATTATATTAACGGATCCTCTTACGATAATCCGCGGCTTAGGCGGTATCCGTGTATAGTAGGCATTAGAAGAAATCGGGTAATAGGGAGATAACGGGAACGTCGATATCGCTCTGGTTACAATAGGTGCTAAATTTCGGGTTTATAGGCGATAATTCCTACGTCATAGAAGATAGTATCGGTTAGCTAATAGTTAATAACGGGGATAGAAAACTAACTTATAACTTCTCCCTAAGCTAATAAAGTATAGCGTAATATTTATACTCTATACGTATTAATCTAAGGTCGTAATAATTAACCGTAATACCCGGCTAATACTACCCTAATAGCCTAATATACTTTATATAGCGGTCGGGTTACGGGCGCGCTCTACGCTAGCTAGTAGTAACGGCCGCCCTATAACGCGCTTTACTATCGCTATAATCGTTATAGGTATTATAGGGGGTATTATTTCGGCGGGTACTAAAAGTAGTAGTTATAAGGTAACGGTTATAGGAAGTATAGTAGTGGCCCGCTATTAGCTATAGAGTATTATAGAGATAGTTATAGCGGTTACGGCCACGATAACGGCTACTCCTTCGGGGAGGGGGCGCGGGAGGAGGTAGCGGAGGGTCTAATAGAGGGTTATATATTAGAACGGGTACTTAAGGAGGCGTAGGGGGAGCTAGTAGTGGAGGGTGGCCTATTAGAACGGTTAGAGGAGGCACCGTAAAGCCTATAGGAGTTATATAATAGGCGGCTTAATAGGCGTTTTGGTTAGCTAACCTTATAGCACGATACGTTATATAGGTAGCGTAAATTCTATATACCCGCGGATAATAACTAAATTTAGAAAAAGGCTTAATATTCTTATAGCTATAGTAAGCACACAGCTCCGAATTAGGTTAGCTAAATATCTTAACGGCGCTTAACGGGGTAAAACAGCGTAAAGGGAATAAGGTAGTAAAAAACTTAGCGGCACCGTAAAAAGGGGATATCGTAGTATAGTCTAAAGTTAGATTTACGGGCGATTCGTACTAAGATCCCTTAATAACCTACCGGCGTATTAGTAGTAAACGCTATATATTACGAAAGTAGCTCAAATTTACGGCTTATATAGCTATATACTATACGGCTAAGTCGCCCGAAAAACACTACAGAATCCCGTAAAAGGGGCCCGGGCGGTAGTACTACTACGAACGCCAGGCTGCCAAGAAGTGCCGGACTTTAAAGTGGGTCAGCTTTAGTTTACACTTAGATAGCCCGGGTCCCTCCCGCATAAACCATACGCGAAACGACGCGAACCTTGCCGCGAGAACGGGACAGATGGCCCGGGGCCCTTCTTCTTTCAAAGGCCCTCAATGTCGCCGTGCACCTTCCGTGTTACTTACTAGGTAGGTACCGACAGGCAGAATAGTCGTCTCTACCTTGAAATGAACATCAAACAATTGCGGCAAGTCTCACTTGGCAAAACATATCACGGCGTGAAGCAAAACCACTCAGGAACAAACGGTCTGAATTGAGCTTCGCCCTCATCGCGTCTCAATTGTGACCCCATCTCAAAAACAACATCTCGTATCTTGGCTATGATTGCTCGCACCGCTTGCCTCCGCTCCCCTGCTTTTGGACTACCTAGACAACACACACACACACACACACACAGCTATCCTTTATCCTTTTACACCAAAAACGCCCCGAATCCAAGCCAACCTGTTCCCATGCCCCGGCGTTCAACTGCTCCCGGTTGAGGTCACACTTTTCCCGTTTTGCTTTTTTGGAAATCCCCAAACAAAAGAAAGCGAAAAGTAGGCTACTCAAGTCGATGTCCAAGGTGTTCCACCGGGTAATGAAATCAGAGAAAAAGAGAAAAGAAGAAGAAAAAAAAAACCCAGTAAACAATAAAAAAAGATAACAAGGATGCAGTGTGCATTGTCGTTCGTGGGAACACAGACCGGTGAGGGTCTCTTCCTGTTTCTTTCCTCTCCGGTTTTTTCTTGTCCCCCATCCTCCGACTTTGTGGTGTGTTTGGTAGAAGCAGCAGTAGTAGTAGTAATAGTAATAGTGGTAGGAGGCAGTAGTAAGGTAGTGGTAGTAGTAGTAGCAACAAGCCCCTGGGATCCCCGCGTGGGTACCCCGACGCAGAATTATGTAACAGGTATATCCATCCTAACGGGAACCAACTCGCATTGGACCGAACGGCTTTCGAAATGGAAGTCAAGTGTTGTAGAAAATGGCAAAGAAATAGCCAAGGGAGCGCCCAGACTTCGGCGGCAGATGACCATGTTGATGGAGTCGGCGGAGCGGAAAATGAGATTCATTTCAGACGTGAAAGTGTGCGCGACGCATCGAGGTAATGCTGGCGAATCCGGCCAAGGCAAAAAAAAAAAAAAGAAAGAAAGAAAGAAAGAAAAGGAAAAGAAAAGAAAAGAATAGGGGTATCAATGAAGTCGAGATAATCAACACAAAAATATCAAGTGAGGTAGGTAGTGGTGTAAATAGTTCGGATAATTCGCTGAACAAATGCCGCCGACGCCATTTTGGGTCATGGGAAGGAAAAGATGGTGTTGAGGGGGCCGAACAAGGAGAGCTCGCAGGCTGCTGCTGCTGCTGCTGCTGCTGGTGACGATGGTGACGATGGTGTTGCGTGTTAGACCATCACAGGGGCTATCCCTCGGTCTCGGGTCATCCACCCAAACAAATCGCCGGTCCGCTGCCCGCTGCCTCCGCTGGGTCCCTCGATCGGCGTCCGCGGCGCCGCCTCGCGTGGCTCCAGCAGTAGGCTCTTTCGGTAGTAGCTGACTTGCACGTTGCCCTGGTCGCCGTCTCGGACCCCTACAACCTGCGCTTCCAACCATTCCTGCAGTTCCGGCACCTCCGTCAGTCGGTACGGGATCTGGAACCGTTGGAGTTCGCCGATGATCTTGGCCGTCCGCGTGTGCTTGTCAAAATTGACCACCGTCCGACCGCCCGCTCCGTTCTCCTCCGCCCCGTCGCCGCAGCCCGCGCTCTGGAGCTGCTTGGTAGCAGGGTTGCCAATGTCGACGAATGTGAGATCAGTCAGATACATGCCGAGGAAAGGAAGGCAGGGGGGGACGTGGTCGTGAAGCCGGCCTCGGAGGACCTTGTTGTTCTGGGACGGCTCGACCACAGCCTGCAGCTGCCGGAGCATGTCTCGCCGCTTAGGGGAGACCATGTCCCACGTCTTGCGGAGCCGGCTGATCGTGCTGCTGTTGAGGCTGCAGATGATGGCCATGAGACCATCGTAGTTGTGCAACTCGAAGCACTGATGCGCAATCTTGATCCACTGCTTGATGACCGTCGCTCGCTTCTTGACCTCGGAATGCTGAAGGATCGTCTCCGCCACGAGGTTCGACAGATCCGTCGAGAAGGCCGTCATCGCCTTGACGTTGGGAGCACCCACCCCGCCCTTCTTCATCCACTCCGACGCGAGTAGTTCCTCCGGCAGAATGGCGCAGAAGATCGTCATCTGCTTGACTGTGAGTTGGCGCGCCAACTCGAGGGGCTCAAAGTCGAGAACGCTGGGCATGGTGCCGCCATTCTTCCAGCCCTGGAGTGCGTTCACTTGGCTCCTGGACAGGCTGACGGCCGGGTGCGGTGTTTCTGCAGGCACGTATTGTGCAATGGATGTGTTGGTCTTGCCCATGGACGACACGTTCCGGGGTACCAGCGAGCCCTCGCTCGAAACCCGCTGCGCGAGTTCCAGCAACCGACGCCCGGCCGACGGAAGAGCCGAGCTGAGCTTGTGCTCAGCGAAGGGTTCGATGAGGTCCAAGGCTTCCCGGTCCGTCTCGTCCCGCCAGTGCGTCTCGAGCCAGCCCTTGAACGCGTTATACACGCGAAGCCGGACCGGCGCCGCCATGTGGGGTGATTCGACCACGTAGTCGAAGCGGTCAATGAGCGCCTCGGCGAGCTGAACAGGCGTGCAGAAGAGGCGGAAGGTAAGGTAAAAAGTCGAGACGAACGTCGCATCGGGCGTCGACTCGTGAGTCGTGAGCCGCTCGACGAGCGCCGGGATAGAGCCGCCTGTGACTTGGCCCTCCTTGTTGAACATGAGCTCGTACGCATACGTCTTTTCGAGCAACTTGCATTCGACGTCGTCCACCTCTTCGGCCTGTGTGGAGCTGCCGCCATTGCTCAGTTCGGACATGGACGGCTTGTTCTTAGGCCCCATCGTGTGATCGGGCGTCGTAGCCCGCGTTGACGTCTGCGACACAAGGCTCGATTCAGAGTCGCGGCTGTGGTAGGTCGCACTGCTCCCGGCGCTAGACACGGTGCCCGGTTCTGACTGGAACGAGGACTGGAAGTCGGTGTCTTGGTTGGCCTTCTCCACGGGGCTATAGTCCTCGCCAGGAAGGAGAGATGTGGATAATTTGGGGAGAGGGGGGAGCGTCGGTCGGAGGGACGACACCGACGAAACCGTGCTGGAAAGGCTCTCGTCGTGGAGGAGAGAAGACGGCCGCGTGTTTGGAGGTGACTCCTGCTGTGGAGGAAGATCAGGGGTTTCGTCGACGACCGGGCTGGTGACCTGCGGAAGCTCCGGAAGGGGCTTGTCAGTGCTCGAGGTCCGAAGGCGTTGTACCCCCGAGCTGCATGATTCAACAGTGCGGCAGGATCCTGCGACGCTGGTAGCTTGGGAAGCCGTGCTTCCGGCAACAGACGTGGCGACGGATGGGCGTCGCTCGAATGGCACGTCCAGAACGGACAGGTCGATTCCGAGAGAGCCACTTTCCACCTCGCATTCAAAGTCTCCCACGCGTTCAATGACCCACTTGGTCTTCGCAACGCACTCGCCAGCCGCCTTAACACACCCGGTGGCTGCGAGTAGAAGCACACCATTATCCTGCTGCATGATGACGTCTTCTTCTTGGGAAGCGGCATCGTGGATGATCTGGCCAGCAGAAGACACAAGATCCTGGATCCTATCGAACATAGAATCCCTTGCGCGCGGCAGCATGTCGGAGCTGCTCGTGTTACTGCACACGACATCGATAACGGCCAAGAGATCCCCTCCCGAGGTGGCGGTGAGTTTGATGGCGAAAGCCAACTCGGGACGAGATTGGGACTGCAGGTGCAGACGTCCGATGAAAGAGCCCAGGTGGGACAAGAAAGCATCGTGACTCTTGTTGAGCCGTTCCGAGACTAGGTGCTGCGGCCTGGAGAGGGGGGGCGGGCCGGCTAGCGAGACGCGGTGCGAGATCCCGGAGAGTCGGTTGATATTCTGAGACAGGCGGTGTGAGGTCGGGCTGGCGGACATAGTAGTGATGGATGACAAGCGCTTGTTCACCGGCGCGTTCGCTGCATGTGCGACGTCGCTCATGCAAGGCAAAACCAGGTCGCTCGACGCCTGGCTTGCATCCGCCCGGGAAGACACATCGCTGGCATTGGACTGCTCCTCAAATCCCATCAAATCAGCTGGTGGCGTCGGGGGAACGTGGGATTCCTCCACAACGGTGTCCATAACCGTTACGGCGGCGGGTGCACGTAAGCTCCGGTCCTCCTCGAGGACGTCCAGAAAGCGAACACCCTTGGTGACAATCCGGAAGGCTTTCAAAATCATCTCGTCGACGATGTCATTGACGTCCTCGGCCGAATGCAGCATCCCTCTTTGGGTTTCTTGGAGTCGTTTCGCCGTCTTCACCAGCGACGACAACTCAGAGAGGAGGGATTTCCTTCCCCGGCGAAGGCCCTCGTGGCGCTGAATAATGGCCGACTCGCGAGTCAAGCAGTCTGTCCGTTCCTGCAGGTTTATTAGCAAACCGGTCGGCAGCACGAGCGAGGAGCGCGTGATTGTCCAACTCACCAAAAGGCATCGCACACCAGCAATGATACCCTTCATGAACTCCTGGTTCCCAAAGATCTCGCTGTCGTTGACGGACGTGCTGCGTAGCAAGTCCCAAAAGTTCAATAGGGCCTTGAGAAGATTTCGCATCTCCTCCGGGTCGTAGGCTTCGCAATAATTTGTCGGAAGCCAGCCTCTTGCTCCGGTAAGTAGCAGCGTCCCGTCCGCCCATCCATTGGTGTGAATAGAATGTACCAGGATTACGTCGCCCTCACTCAGCGGTAATGTTACGCTGGAATCTGACACGGAATAGCTGGGGTGGAAAGGGTAGAAAGCACGTAGGAAGTTGTGGAAGACGGGAGGCGCCTGTGGCTGCTCGTCTGCCAAATCTTGCTGCGAGCCATTGGGTGTGGCCGGCGAAGACATGTTCAAGTGGGCGTAAGCGTTGTTGTGATGGCAAAGGTGATCATGTTCATGTTGTTGGGACCCGATGAGGTCATGGTCATGGTCATGGGACGAAGAGTCCGATGCAGATCGGTGAAGGTTAAGGGGTGCCACCTGAAGGCTGGCACGCATATCGGTATATTCGCTCATCACTGCCTTGTTCGGCGAGGCAGTCCGTTGTCAATCATGGGGGAGAGAGGCCGGTTAATGATGTCGGTGATGCCCGTCCGAGAGCAGCCACTCGGGCTTGCGGGTCGACTTGATCCCAATGAGTGTGGCAGTCCGAGGGTAACGAAGTTTCCGAGAATTCGCTCCGTGTCCGCGAGGTGTTACAATGGTGGGAAAGAAAAACGGCCCGGTGGCTGTAGCTATCCGGCCCTGCTCGCCGCCGTCGTCTCGTTCGGCTGGGTGTTTCGCGGGACGCGTTGTCGAGTCGCAATCAATCAGCCCAGTAAGAGAAACTCGGTTGTTCTCGACAGTATGATCTCGTCGGACTCCTCCTGGTGGACGATTCACGAGAAAGTGGTCCGAGAAGTCGGCTAGCAATTGGCTTATCCGAGCTCGATCTGATCGAAAGTGTCGGTGCGGTTCTTGTTGTGTCCGTGTCTAAGACGATGACGCTAGTGTTGAACGAAGGGTTTGTTGAATCGAATGGTTGTTGAAAGAATCAGGGGGAGCGAGGGAAGAGGAATGTCGAGGCCAGCCGGGGTCCCTTAGAGTAAAAAATGACGAATATTTGCTCGTGGACTTGGTTGGCGCGAGCATGGACTTTGACTTGGGAAGGGGTCGGGGACAGGAGGCAGGGGGAACTGACAAAACAGAATGGGAGCGGAGTGTCGCTTGGTGGGGGTGTGGGCACAACCAACTGAACAGCAGAATTGAGTACCGTACCTACAAGGGTACCGCATCACAGAGAGTGGAGTGGACAGGGGGGGTTTGAAAGGGGTGGTACCAGAGGTGGTTCCAGGGGGTGGAAAGTGAACGTGCCCTGGCAACCCGCCCAGGCACAAGGGACTTGGAAGCTTAAAGTACACTACATATGTACCTGAGTCGGAACTGATGGAGGGTGGGTGGGGAGTGGGGACCTACCCTAATGGCATGCGTGGTGGAGTGTGATGGATAGTTGCATAAGGTACCGAGCACACAAGCACGAATACCTAAGGTACCTTACCTTAGGTATCCATATGGACAGACAGTCGTACTTCTGTACTATTGCCCTGGCACTAGCCATGCATTAAGTAGTGCGTTTTCCGAGCTGCCCACCCCACGAACCCCACCTTGAGCCATTATTCGTACCTTACACGAAGTACGAAAAGCACCTGTCGAGAGGACAGCAAGTCTCGAGTCGTATGGTGTCGTCTTGCTCGTCATGGCAGACACCGACATGGGTATTTGTCGCATATCTACGATACCAAGTGCCAGTAACGGGGGGTAAACTTGATCATACCGTGCGTCGGTCTAATGCCGAGGGAGAAGACACATAAGGTACCTATCGTCCAGATCGCCTGGTCTGTGTCCATTGACAACCCCCGTTTGATTCCAGGGGGTTCGATGAAGATGAAGTACTTTGTCGACCCGAGGGAATGGGCTCTCTGGGCAAACAAGACCTCAAAGGATTAATAAAAGGCATATTATTCTCGCAAACACCGGGACATAATGATTTCCAACAGAATAACAGCAAATCGAGTTGTTGGTAAATAATTAGACCCCTCTGGCCTTCCCCCTCCTCCGTACGTGGTTCCAAGTTCGCCTCGCGTCTTAAGTATCCGACCGCGCCTATGTATACCGATGTGCAATAATAGTACTTATAGCCTAGATGGGCCTATGGATAGCTCGGTTGATCACTTACCTGGGATATGGATATGATCATCGTTCGGCTGTTGACAATGATGCTGTTGTATCCCGTAATCCATTCCGAGTTCAGTGTTTTCATGTGCCCATGAAGTCTACAAAGCATGTAGTCTCCCGGTCGAGGTCTGTGTTCTTGCGATCGTAAAGTGGCGGAGTATTTCTTCTGTACCAAGCAATTATTATTAACGTCTGAAAATAGTACACGTTGTTTGTCATCAGCGCTCGGGTCGCCGCACGCCCGTCTGTGCCCGTCTCTAATGCTCTCAATTGCATCACCATTGAACGCCCTGGACTCGGATACGACCCCGGCGGTTTGGGGAGCGAGGGTCGCGATTGTCATTGCTTATCTAGCCGCATACTAGGTATCTGTCTCGAGGGCAACTGGTTTTCTCTCCTCTCTCGTTTCCCTGTGGCAAGCCGAGCAGCCTTCCCGATTGACAACGGGCGGATAATAATCCACGGAATACCTTGGTAAGAAGTATGGATAGGTATAAGAACAAACAGATTGACAGACCTGCCGCCTTCTTCTTTGACTAAGGTACGTTGTATGCACCTGATCAGGAATTGGGCCTTGTAATCATGGATACGAAAGCAATAGGAGGGGAGACACGGTGGGAAGGGAACCACATGGGGTTGACAGGGGAATGCGACGACGCAACGCCGAGGGTGCAAGGGGGCGGCCTTTCCGGGCCTCGGTAAGGACAGGCTTCAGGTTATTAGCTAACAACAGGGGTCGGAAGTGACGGAGAGTGGGGTTGATGGGGCTTAATCTGCCTATGGGATGCCGGTACTTGGCTAGAAGATTGAATAAGGTACCTTAAGCTCGAAAGGGATTCAATTCACACGGCCACCCCCTACGATTTATAGCTGCCACCATACAGTGCGCATATTGGAGGCGCAAGCCCCAACCAAGATAGCAGAGAGGTACAACGTATACAAGGTACATATACGAAGCTCGAATCCAGACAGGGAGCTCGGACCTCTTATGCCCTACCCCGGCTTTATTAAGAGCTTTCGACTTCCTGAGAATGGGTGCTCTGCTTACCTAGGTATTCACAAATGGAACCGTATTAATACTTATAGAAGGATATCCGAAGGACAACATTGGACATAGACAGAGCGAAAACATAAAGCGCCTACCCCGCAATTACTGATCATCAGTTAGGTACCTAGAGACGGCTTAGACACGATATATACAATGCTGCGTCTCATCCATTGCTCGCACGAACTTATTACTGAGGAAGTACTACGTTGTACACTACTCTGAAATCCCTCCTGACCTCGCCAGAGAATTCCAGACTGTCCATTCCGTATGTTGTACCCATAACACGAACCTATCCTCCAGTGTTGATCGCTCCGTACCGTATTCTGGCAGTACTTCGGCGTACTCCGTAATCCCAGTGTATTCTCTGTCCCGAGTTATCGTCTGGTTTGTTGCCGAGTCGCCACCCGAGCCAAACCAATGGGTCGGTCGTTGATTTGGTTTTGACAGGCGGGGCCGAATTCTTAGACTCAGTTGGCGCAGCAGTAAGGCAATGCAGGGATGCTGGATTTTCTCCGTACCTTATTGTTCGGCGACCACAGCGTAGCCATTGCAATCAATTCGAGGCCAAACGGAGCTTCCACCACCAACGCAACCACAGCATCGGAACCGGCATCTGAACAAACACGCAGATAATGTTTAGTTTGCGGCCTTCTACTCGAGCGAACTCGCGGGCATAAGCCATCAATATGACGATTGAAAAAGAGATCATCGGGCTTTGGCAATCAGATGACTGTTCAGCATAGCATCTGGAGCGGTAATACCTGCAGCTTGCTTTTCGTACTACCGCAAATGTACCTGACTAAGGTAGCCATTAATACATACCCCGCACAATGGCCTTGAGAGGATGCGAGGGATCTCGAGGGATCTAGTGTACTTCTGACTCCGTACATTCTGGATCTACGCATCGTACAGGTACAATCAGTAAGGTCCGTCCAGTGCTTGACGCAGGGATATCCAACCACATACGCCGCATCGTCAGAGTAAGGCTTGATAGATGCATCCCAGCCAGACCGACTCCACAAACCCAATTCCTACGTTGTACGTGTACACCGCTTCGGAACTCCACCGCCTGATCGGAAAAAGGTGACTACGAAGTAAGCGTGTCCTGTTTCAACGAATTCGGGGATGAGAAACTCGACGCAGGGCTTACTGCATAAAACGACTGAGGGAGAAAATGGCCCCGTCTCTATGGAGTGGGCGCAGGCCCTCCGATGACCGACATATTTCGCACGAAGAGTCCCAGGAGCGTAGGTATGGCCGAGACACTACGGCGGCTATCTGGCTTGCGGCAGGTTACGCCTAGATCTCGCTGTCGTCACTAATCTAGGTCAGGGGAAAGACTAGGACACTCGAGACATGCGGCTCTGTGGCTATGCAAGGAGGGTGATTATGCGACATTTTCTTACTCGAGGAGCCATCCTTGATGGTGTCGAAACGAAGAGCTTGCTCGCTCACAGATGCCGAAACTGTTTTCGGACTATCTTGAACAGATGCACCTAGCTAAGGTAAGGTACCCATTTATCGGTCGAATTGCGCTTGCGGAATCTCGACAACCGCCGGCAGCGCTCAATCAAATCATTCCCAAGCGTGTCTAGTATGTTGTTCTCCGATACCAAATCATCAAAACAACAAAAGAAAGGGGAAAAGGATCTTCGGTCCATCTTCATGGGGCTCTCGGATGCGTTTGCCCATACCCGCCGATGAGATCATTACGCGTGGGAGTGCCAGGGGATCGTCAAAACAACAACTTGAACCAGACACGGCCAGGAATAAGAAACACCACATTCGTGAGCATCATACGGAGTGCGTAGGGATATCGATACATACTGGTGTTTCGTCCCTCTGACCCCACTCTTCAGCCCTTCCATGGGCATGCGTTTTGCGTCATGCGTCATGCGTCATGCTCGACCACTCAGCCGATGCTGGTTTGGCTGGACCGTACTCGAACTTGATCTTGATTCTGATCCGCAGTACCGCATCCCTTCCGATGCCTCGATGAATTGGGATTTGAGGTGTGATCTCCCGGAGAGGAGGTCGTACGGAGTGTAAAAGAGTACCAAAACTGGGTGGTCGTTCGTGGAACCACGACTCGCTGAACAACCTCCCCTGACTGACCATTCGATAAGGCGTCGATATGCCGAGTTCGGCACACCCCACCTCCGTCCCGCACAGACTTGCGCACAGATGATATCTACTCAGGTAACTGCGAGGCCGATGAGCAGCGATTATTCAGTATGAAGTACTATCTTGCTTAACTTGCGTCAAGCCCAGAGTCCGTCTATCGGAGGATCTTTGGTCAGCCGGCCACCGCCACAAGATTAATAATCGATCGCTGGTTGGTCGAGCGCTGCCATTGGTAAGCCTCGGATCCCGACCGCTGTGATCAATCTCTGTTCAGTGCAGAATTTCCTCCCCAGAAGCCCCCACGCAAGTATCACACCGCTAAGCGCCAAATCTCCAGGCACAGAATCCTTCCCGCACACTTGTCACATTCACTGTCTTTTCCGCTAGCCACTCGCACAACGTTGTGCAGATACAGACCGAATGTATCTTCAATCGCCTCGTCCCGTTCCTAGCGACTTTTTTTGGCTTCCGCGGTCGATGAGAAACATCCTGACTCTTGCTTGGCCTTGCCAACCCAGGCACCATGGAAATGCCGATCAGAGACGGGATGCAAATGGCGCTGACCACGCTGCCCAACTTTGGTCCTGCTCGCATTTCCGTTGAGAGTAGGTTTCGAATCGAGCAATGAGGTTTGAAGCGCGATCGTCAAGTAGAGTCAAGTATTAGGCAAGTTCTCTTCAAATCTTCAGAGCCGGTACTATTGGGATTCATCGCAGCAGAGGAGAGTTAGCATCCGATGAGGCCCGAACCAGACATCCTTCGGTAGCAATATCGGTCTCATCTATCCACTCACGCCCCGGGACAGCTGGGTCGTAGAGGATGGGAGGGTCGCCTCACTTTAGCATATTGTCACCTTACGAATCGTCGTCGTCGTCGCCAATCGCCGTCGTTGCCAAACCCTGAAGGCACCCCAGCCACCTGTGTGCGTATGTGGTCGGTCACACTGCAACGTTTCGGCATGACTCGACAGTTCACGACCGGCCAAGGCCTTCTTCTTTGGCCTTTCGTTTTGCCGTCTAGGTCTGATTATGACTTGGGAGTCCTGCCGAAGCTCCCAGCGGAAAGAGGGTTTTCGGGGGTCGGATGGGGACATCTCACATCAAGTCGTCAACGTCAACATACCAACTTCGGCGACCACTTCACCGGGGTTCCGCTACCGAGATGAAGACCACCCGTTTCACTGCTCCATTGAGGACAGCGTAATCTGGGGTGGCGGGACGCTGCTCCAGGTTTGTTCCCGATGAAGAACCCCCCCCTCCCCCCATTGCGGCCCAAAGCTGGGCGTCTTCTCCGCCATGAAATTAGCAGAGTGCCATTCTTGGCCGTCATTTCCGCTAGATCTCCAGCACCCCCGTTAATTGCCTGCGATAAGATGTTGCCGGAGAAACCTTTTTGTAACATCGCCCACATCGTCTCCCCGACTCCTCGGTCTTTCAGGATTCACACTACTGCCGTGCCCCAGCACCAAGACCTTGGGGAGGAAGCAGCAGCAACAGCGCTTTACGCGTGTAGGGGGATCGGTCTTGGCAGAATACCGGTAGAAGGGACTTCTCTTTTCCCTTGTATCCGTGAAGCTCTCATAAGCCGTGTACATATTTATATTTTCTCGGTGTGCCCCCCAGTACGGGGCCCAGGCCCATTTCGGCGCGTCTCGTCCTGGCCAGCTCCCTCCGTCTTGGGCATCAGTCGAGGTGACATTGGCAAGGCTATGGAGGTGCCGTCCCCGTGCAAGCTTCACAGGGCGAACCGAGCCCGGATGAGAAGTTTGGCTGGTGGCATCCTTCGGATCCAAGGACTCCGATCCTTGTTTTCCCTCGGATATTGTTCCAGAAACCTTCCACGAAACGCGACACGCACCCCGGTGTGACATACACATGTGTCGAGATAGCGGCTTAACCGAGCCGATTATCGAGATAACAGGCGATTGCCTTGAGAAAAAGTGTGCGCCGATAGATCCATACATAATTATTGTAATCGTTGTACCTACATACATACCTGTCTCTGGATAGGATCGTTCCTACCATACTTTGTAGATCTCCTAATTAACCGGGCACTCTCGTCAATGTCGTTCCCCACTTGTCACTGTACAGGTATGCACATCACGAAGCCTCGAAGCCCGTCCAATCAAGCCTTGGTTGCATCGTCACACCCCTTTTCGTCAAGCTCCATGTCCCCTAGCCCCTACCTACTCTGACTCAATGCAATACATGCCAGGTGATCCGACGTTGTCTGATCTTTTTTGGTTTTGCGCTCTCTGGCCAGATATTGCCCCATGCGTTCCTTTTTTTTTTTTTTTTTAATATGAGCGTAAATTTCCGTAATATTCGGAACAGGGCTTCAGATGGCGAATCATTCCTCACAAGTCCTCCGGCCTTGAACTAATTAGAACTTGGCATCTGAATGTGCTTTCTTTTTCCTCAACCGTCGTGGGGACGGGACTCTTCAAGCACTTGATTGCCCCACATCACATCACGAGACTCGCGTGCAAATAAGGTGAGAAAGCATGGCCAGCAGGCGTTCGAGTGGGTATGACGAGTCAGTTGGTGACAAAGTTTAAAAAAAAAAAAAAAAAAAAAAAAAAAAAAGCAGTTGTCGCCTTACGAGTTACTGGTGATGAGGAACGTAGTCGAATTGCTTCTTCCACCTCGAGAGCGCGATGCCAGCTACCTACCTCCTGCTGATTATCAGCCCCAAATTCAAGATGTTGCCTCCGACCTTGGCTGCCCCCTCCACCCCTGCCAGGCACGAGCACCGGGATCCGTTCCGCGGACACTTAGGACGGCAGTGGCGTCCACTTATCGACAACGGCGGCTGGAGGGGCGCATTTTATTTAGTACGACGGCGTCTTTGGAGCGCAGCTTCAACCAATTCACGTCGTGATTTGCATGTTGTTTTCTGTAGAGGCTGCGTGACACAAAAGAGATGGAGACAGACTCGTGCCTCTCAATAACAAAAAGAGCTGGCTGTTTGGCTGTGCCGACATTTGCATCGCCACGCACCGTTCCTCAACTCTATGATTTGGCTGGCGCAGTAGCAGTCCACGATGCGCGAGGAAGCAAGAAAGAAAGGGGGAGCGAAGAACTTTAGTCCCTGCTATTGCTATTGCTTTTTCCAGACGTCTTGTTCTTACTCGGCACGTGTAAAATTACCACGAGAAAGACCAATTTCTCCAATGCTCGGCATGCGTTTAGAAGAGGTTCCCGTCCAATTGGCTATGATGACTTGGCTTGCATTCGTATGCCGCTATCGTGCAGCATTGCAGGCGGTAGAGACATGCATGCAGCCCGGTTTTCGAGTTCTGCTTCCACACAACACCACTGGCGCGGTGGGGGGCATTTATTGCAAATATCATCCAATATCACATCGCAACCTAGGTACGTTGAAGGGGAATGGAGCACGAATGATTCATCAGTCCTCCTCAAAGATCGCTTGCCCCTCAATTGGCTTCCGTTCTAGCCGTTTGGCCATCCGGCCGGCGGGGTTACACATGGGCGTCCGGGGCCTGTCCCTGGGAAAGACAACAGGGTGGAGTTGACGCGTTGCGTGCGAGTACAGTCATCACGGTGTACTCAGTACGGGATGATCTAGATGTCAGCGGCCAAGAAGACACTATCATCGACTGGTCTCTGAATCTGGTGGGTAAAAGCCCACGGATGAAAAGATTGGCCAATCCACACACTGCGTTCTGTCGCCTTGCAACCTTTTGACGAACTAGCTCTTCGGCACTTCCCAGGGCTTCCTGGCGATAATCATCGCGATGCCCTCCTGTTATGGTCAAGCCCTGGCGCCTCATCCGAACGGACACCAAAAGTCCGGCCGAGCAGTCGCCCGAGCCCACGAGCCGGTCCTTCACTGGCGTCGTGCAGGAGGCGACGCCATAGGTCAGGCCCTTTTAACTGCCGAGAGAGGTGGTATAACCCAGTCCGCCTGTCCCTGGAGGAATACCTTAGGGAATATAAGGTACCTTGCCTTGAGGCAATAGGTATGATTTGCGAAGTATTGGAAATATTTCGTTCGTACCACTGTACCCAGACTTGACATGGGACTGCCGGACAACAGGCTGGGGCGCCAAAATAAAACGTCGAGAGGTACGATCTCATCCGAGACTATACCTCCGGGTCATCAACAGCGGTTGTTATCTTCCTTGGTATAACATAATATTCCTTTCATAATAAATCACCACAAATCTTTGGCATTGTACCACCTGATATTTGCATTCTGCCTCATAAGTCTCAACTCTCCAATATAGGTCATCCGAGAAGGCTGCAGGTGTCAGTCAGTGCCGACAAACCAGTTCGAATTGTCGTAAAGGAATATCGGTTTCCTGTTTAGTATATTTCGCTCTGGTGTCATGGTTTATGGACCGCCTCGGCGTTATTCCACGGATGAGGGGAGGACGACCCACGAAGTACGGATACAAGACTCTAAAAAAATCGAAAACTGTCTGATTATTAGTATCAACCATCACGAACCGGCATGTGCGCTTGTTGTTGGGGGTTCAGAAGTGCCCTGCGGTGATCATTTTGCCAGAATTCGTTGTGCCGCACGGCGGGGCGGACTGGCCACGCGGAGGAAGCTAAACAATCTATTGGGTTGTTGGGTTGATCAACGCCAGGGGTTCCCGATGCCGGGAGACTGGTGCTTTGAGGTCTCAGAATCGGGCCACGACGATATATGGCATGTGTCCCTATTGGCGTAGCCATCAGGGGCACTGCTCACTTGCAGAACTCTCCAGGGTGCGATGGCGAATAGGTATCTGTGAGAGCGGGGTGGTGAGAACTGGGGAGGCGTTCTTGACGTGGTGTAAGTCGCGGGAATCGCGGGATGCATTGTGCTGCTACTACGTGTAGATCCATATCGGTGAAGGGAGGAGAGAATATAGGAGGATATTCTCACGTTCAACTCCGCCATTCGTACGAAGAAGTGCCGGCACGAGCGAGGCTGTCCCTGGGTGCTGAAGAAAACCAACTGAGACACGCAGGCTGCATGCCGTTCCGTCCACACCATGGACATGGATTTATTCGTACCTTTTACTTAGCATAGACGCGGGACAAGCTACAAATCAAGTTTACTTTTGATAATTACAACGTACGTTGTAGGTGAACCCTTTCCGGAAGGGCTTTTCGGTCGAGGAAAAATGGTAAGACAAGGGGAGGGAATAAACACAGCGGGGTTCTTCAGAGACCACTTCAACGGACTTCCAACTCTGATAGTGTTACCCCGCTCCAACTCGAGAGCTCTCTCGGTTATGACGATAGGGACAAGGACAAGGCGGCGGAAGGGATGATGTTGTGCGATTTGCTATCATACTAAGGGCCAGACAATACAAGGACAAGGGCACCCGCGTCGTCAGCAATGGTTCCCACTAAGTCATTACTGTACACTACTGTACAGTGTACCTTAGCTAGTGGGAAAGCTGGAGCCTTTGTTATTAGCGGCCCCGCGTGGGCGTCGTGAAGGTGAAGATCCCCGATGAAATCCCCACAAACCGCAGTCGCCCATAACCACCGCCACTGTCGACTATCAACTGCGATCTGCTTATATCGTATACATACGTACACTAAATCGGCACTTTTGCGAAGCACAATCCACCACGACCGGTGAGGGGCTAACGAGGGGACGACCCACGGCGAATGTTTTTGCTACGAATTACGAATATCTACATACGTTATATGCAGATTGAGTAGGCGCACAGTGTACCTAGGGGGTTGGACGTCATTGTCATTATCGTTGTGGGACGGAATGGACGTGACCCGGCGTCTCAGGACGATTGTACCTGGTAGGGATGAAGGTTATGGGTTCTCAGTACAACGTACAAAAGTACGGAAACTCAGTATTCCGCGAGTTCTCAGGTTCAGTCGTACTACGTTGCTTTACTTAAGGTATACGCTGTAAAGGAAATCATATAGTATGTCAGATCTGACAAGTTCTTGCATGCCAAACACACGACCGAGGACGTAATAGTATCGCGATAAGGCAATAGCGTAGCGATAGACTCGTTGTCAGTTATCATACTATAAGAACGGATGCTATCATGACTGAGCAAACTCACATGCACTATCGACGGCGATTTCCAAAGTTGACTAGTACGAGGTACTTCTTTCCGAGTATCTCCAGTTGTCGGCGCGGGGAAAGCTTCCGGGCAACAGCACCAGGGTCATTACATGCAGAACTCCTCCCAGACTCGGAACTCATGGCAAAACCCTGCCCCTGGGCGACGAAGAGCAAGAGCACGGACCTTTTGTCTTCCCCTTAATTATTGGAAGCCTCCACAAATATTCGTAGGTATGTACTTCGCCACAGTAACTGGACCCTGTCTCGGTTTGTCGTTTGCGCTCCCGTGCACGGACCGTTTCCCCCAACTTCACCGCGACGATTCCCAAAAGGAGGGGGTCCTATGGTCCTATGTACCTTAGACTCGTGCTACACGTGTATAACACGCGAAAAGCCGGAAAAACACGGAGCATAAGAGAAGAAAAAGAAATAAATACACGGAGAACCCTATAATACGAAGTACGAATATTATGTGCGGGCTAATGGGTCCTCCCTACAGACACCTCAACTCTCAACTCTCATCCACTGTGCCTGTTGCCTGTTGCCTGCTGCCGCATCCATGTAAGCACACGGGCGACGGGTTTACAACGTATAACGTACTTGTCTTGTCTTATCCGGTGTCTGCCCCTAAGTGGGGGAAAACGTATTGTGATCGCCTTACGAACCCACATCTACAGGTGTCGATATTTACCCGGTTGCCCGAACCCCATAAGTTAGGACCTAGACCTTTCCCTTAGGTCCCCGGATTTCACCGTCAGTACGGAGTATTACTTCGTACATACACCAACGCAAGGGAGGCGGTTTCTCCACGGTCATCGATATACGCTGCACGGGAGTATAACGTCAAGACCGGGGTCTGCGTTATTTTGCGGTCATGTGAACGTGGGGGTTCCGGGGGCGAGCTCAGCGTGCCAACTATCATGTCTCTCTGCTCTGTATTATGGTTCCATTATGCTGAAGTCCAACCACATATGGCTTTTGCTTAATGTAGCTGCAGGGGTCAAGAGGTATCTGTTTGAGATGACCAAATCGTGCGCAGGTCCGTTCAAATTAGGAGGCCCGTGAATTGCTGAAGCTCGAGACAAGGCGATGATACGAAAACCGAAAACCGTCGTCTAATGTCCTTCCTCTTTCCCTCTTGTTGAGCCAGGTCAAGACGACGCACTCGGAACTCGAAGAGTGTTTCATATCCGCTTGCGCCTGTATGCACATGTGACGTTTCGAGAAGAACGTCATGCCCTATGTATATTCAAAGAGTGTTATAGCTGTAGTCTTAATCAGTCACTGTATCGAAACGCCGATAATGCGGCACTTGACCAAGTAGCTTGACGGGCACTATGTTTCTGTGGACTAATCAAGGGTTTCCTGCTTCCCGCCGACAGACTCGCACACATATCTGCTGTCTCTAGTCCAAGAAAGGATATTCACTCTTGCTGCCAGTCCTCGTTCCACTGGCCTGGAAGAAGAGGAGCTAACCAAAGAGCAAACATAAAAAGGATGCAACGTGGAGAAACGGAGACTGCTCCAAAATGAGAAATAGACCAGAGAATTGCTGTGCTATTGCCGGTAGATTGTTATCCTGCGAGACCGTTGCTTTCGTGATTGCCCCTCTCAACTGCCAAACGCTGGTGCTCAGCGAGATCATGTGATCGCACCCCACCAGAGTACCTGAACAACCCCTTGCCTCAATGACGCATTACCTAATCTCGAGATATTTTGTGCATCGCACCATCGCCACCACAGCCACCACAAACCTTTCGCATCAACCACCTCTTCACAAGAATTCCTCCCCAAGCATGCGCGTCTATTTGCTGTCCGAAAGGCACTGGCACTTCGGATATGGTGATTAAGACTCCCCGTGCATCGGTCATGTCCGTCATGTCCTTGCGCCATCGTTGTCTTAGGGCGCAGCGGCGCAACCTGTCCCCCTCCGTCGTCTTCGCGCATGGATATTCATCTTCGAGCCAAGTCCAAGACCCAGAACCAGATCGCAACCCACCAGTCTCTCCAGCCGCCAGGAATGACGAGGCTTCAGAACCAGAAAAGGGCGCCATGACTCGCCGTCTCGAAGAAGCGACCGAAGAGGCCCTCTTGACAGGAGGCAAGGCCGGCCGCCGCGCCATCGAGGCCGCCGGCTTTTCCGAAGAACTAAAGGAGAAGCTCCTGGGCAAGGTCCAGTCCGCCCAGTTCCGCGCCAAATTCTCGAATGCCTTTGCCCAAGCCGGTCTATCTTCCGCGTCTTCGCCGTCCTCGTCCTCGTCCTCGTCCTCGTCAACAGGACCGTTTGGCGCCGCATCGGAACCCTGGACCGGTACTGAATCACCACCCGACGCTGTCCTCCGCATGCTCGACGACGCGAGAAAACCTCTGAAACCCGAACTTCGTGGCAAATACCGTGTTCCGGAGCCGGTAGACCTCCGCCCTCGGCGGGAACCGAGAATCCACCCCGGCCGCCGTGTCGTCGATGCTCGCGACAAGGCCGGCATATACGCCGACATAGCGACGAGGGAGAAGGAAAAGAAGAACAGGAGCGGCGGCAAGGGCTTAACGGAAGAGGAACGCGAGGCGATGCGGAGGGAATTTCGCGAGCGGTTCACGCCCGTGGCCCGCGCCGTCCCGGCTACCGTGTCGGGACTCGCGGCACTGGCCAACGAGCGCATCGAAGACGCCATCGCGAGGGGAAAATTCCGGAACATCCCCCGCGGGAAGGACGCCGCCGAGCGGGATGCGCGGGCGGACAACCCCTTCATCGACACGACGGAATACCTCATGAACTCGATGCTCAAGAGGCAGGACATCACCCCGCCGTGGATCGAGAAGCAGCAAGAGCTGGCCAAGTCAGTGTCTGTTTTCCGGTCGCGGCTGCGGAACGACTGGAAGCGGCATGCGGCCCGCATGATTGCCGCGGCCGGTGGCGGGTTGGAGGAGCAGATTCGGCGAGCTGAAGGGTACGCCAGGGCGGAGGAGAGGGTGAACCCCCGGGGAAAGAGCACCGGCAGGACAACAACGAGAACAACAACAACAACAACAACAACAACAACAACAACAACAACAACAACAACAACAACAACAACAGCAGCAGCAGCAGCAGCAGTAGCCTCTGAGACGGAGAGCAATGGCGTCGCGACGGAAAAGGACAGGCGAGGCGGCGCCATAGACTCGTATGCGGCCGTTCCCTTCCGAGACCCCGACTGGGAGGCCGCCGAGAAGGCCTACATGACGCTGTCCGTGGAGAACCTCAACTCGCTCACGCGATCGTACAACTTGATGGCCCCCGAGCTGGCCAAGAAGCCGTACTTCTCTCTTGAGCGGGAGCTCAACGCCTGCTATGCCGACGTGGCCCCGCTGGTGGCCGAGACCATCCGACAACGAGCCACGCGACCGGCCAGGTCGCTTACTGAAGGGGATGGGGGCGGGCGAAATAAGAGCACCATTTTTGACAGCATTGGTGGCGGCGGCAAGGAGAGTGCGAGGATATACGAAAGAAAAGAGCCGCATTATGGGTTCAAAGAGATGTGGAGGGATATTTGGGGCGGATAGGGCAGCAGCGGTAGAGCCGAACAGCGCTGATATGACCTTTGCATAGAGACGCACGCCTGCATGCTGTATGGGCCGCGACACACCCAGCCAGCCACTGTCCAGCCTTTTCGTCTTGTGCCTGTTCTCTGACGTATATGTTCATCCTGGACCCCATTATACGGATGTGCTCCCCAAGGTCATGTCGTACTAGACCATAACGCCGTTGTTCGGCCAGATGCGTTCGACTCGGCCTACCCCCATGGCTGTGAATAGTCACGCATCCTAGCGCAAGACTTTCTTTTTTTGCGGCAGGCTAGACGTCGGCTCTCGAGCATCGGTTCGGGCAGGGGGTCGTTCACTCTATTGGTGACTCGGACCGTCCACTTTGAGGTTATGGAGTGTCTGTTATCCTTGCACGGATAAACCGCCCCTCACCTTCATCTTCCCAACTTCTCGTCGCCGTTCGAGTCGCTGACCTTTAGGTTCGGCGTCAGCACAGGCAAAGGGTCTCCCCGTCAACACTGACACAGGGCGGGCAGCTTGATTGTATTCTGCGCTCGCTTAAGCAGCTTTGACAAGACACTAACGGGCCCTAGAGTCCGCAGTGAAACGGCCGGTCGAGACTAAGCAATCAAACCTTGGCTCTGAACCAGCGTTGTCCTTGCAAAGATGCTGAAGCTGCATGAAACAAGTTAGCAGCGGGGACTTGATGTAGATAGAACATCTATCTCATTATGCTTATAGTCTAGTTGTAGCTTCTTCGCTGGCCGTCGAGGGGTAGATCCAAGCTAATGAGTTCCATGTTGCGAATAAATATCGAGCGAAGCGCCTCCACGTCGCAACCCCTGCGTGATACCACTACCTGCTGGACAAGATTACACGCCTTAAGGACAAGAAACATGCCCATTTTGCTGTCATGAGTTCCATCTCTTGGGCCGGGCCCGCCCATACCTATTCGCGGTGTTATATTTACCACCCTGCATCCAAAGTAAAGAAGCATGAACCGCGCCTCAATCTTATAATCGTGTACTACTAGTGGGATGGCAATCTAAACACGCATTCTATTCTGATTATGTCTGTCAAAAGGCAAAGGGCAACTATGCTAACAGGTGCAGGTTCGCAGCGTTCAATCTACTCTACTCCCCATGTTCGTCCGTCCCCAAACGAATTTCAAATCCTTTATGTTGTGAACTTCAGGGTATCCTATCATAACGTCAAACCCACCAGACCGTGAAAGCTTTCTCCCATACTCCATACGAAGCTCACAGATGAAAAGAAAACTCGAACTCGCCCGATGTCTGATTATCCCGTACGACACGCCAATGACACCCCGATGGGGATGGACGTTTACTCCGTGGCGGATCGAGTGGAAGAAGTCGCCCTGCTTCCCGTGTCGCGGAGGATCTTGGCCTCCTCCAGGGCTTCCCTCCTGGCAAACTCATCCAACAGCTTGTGCGCCGTTTCCAGAGGCAAATCCGCAATCATGGCGCTCAAGTGCTAGTTGCCGAGCGAGTCAGTTATATGCCATCCGTCACGTGGATGTTGCGAAAGAGAGAGAGAGAGAGAGAGAGAGAGAGAGAGGAAGGGGGGAGGGGACGGCAAAAGGCAGCACAGAACATACGGCAGGAAACACATTCGAGGGATAGTATTTAAACTCCTCCATCATGCGGTTCAGGCGAAGCACCTGCTTCCACGGCACGACGGTATCGCCAATCAAAAAGGCCGGGAACCGGGCCCTCGCAATCTCCTCGAGAATCCAGCGACGCTGGAAATACTGGCGGCCCATAAAGTCGTTGCAGCCGACCCAGTGCGGCATGGTGAAGGGGATCTGGCCGTCGGGCCCGGTGGACCAGATGTGGGTGATGGACTCGGCCCACCTGTGGGTGGGGGAGTAGTCGCCCGGGTTCTTCTCCCTGTCGCCCGGGTCCCCCCAGTGGGCGGGCATGGCGTCCTCGATCTCGGCCAGCGTGGCCATGGCGACGTCGGTGTGCTCGCTCTTCTCGCCCAGCCAGCCGACGACGAGCTCGGCGGCGCGGTAGACGTTGCGCATCTCGACGAGCTGGCGCGACTTCTCCTCGTCGTCGCGCTGGTTGACGCAGAGGAGGTCGAGCCAGACGCGCAGCACGTTCGGCCGGTCCGGGTCGTCGTGCGCGTGCGCGTTCGAGGTCGACGATGACGACGACGAAGAGGAGGAGGACGAAGACATGCCGAACAGGTGCCTCAGCCAGCGCGGGGCGCGGTGCGGGCGACGGGCCGGGCGGCGCTGGAAGCGGCGCGAGATGGTCGGGTAGAAGACGGCGCGCACATTGCGCAGGGCCTGGGCGAGGTGGAGCGGGATGTTGACGGCACGGCCGTTGAGCGAGATGGGCTCGGTACGGGCCGGGTCCCCATAGAGGGACGAGAGGCCGATGAACTCTTGGTCGTCGCTGAGGCGGACGGTGACGAGGCGGCAGTCGATGGGGTCCTCGATGTTGCGGGCCGGCTGGATCTCGAGCAAGCGGGCCTCCTGCTTGGCAAGGTTCAGTCGCTTGTACTCGACGGCGGCCGTCATGGTTAGACGGTTAGACGGTTGGACGGTTAGACGAGGCTATGACAACGACAAACGATAACGACGAGTCGACGGTATGCTCCGGGTCCCAGCGGTTAGCGCTTGTGCATATGCAGTGTCTCAGGCCTTGGTCTGAGGGGACGGACGGGCGGGCGGGAAGTGGGCGGATTGTTGCAGTTGCAGTTGCAGTTGGCAGTTGCAGTTGCAGTTGCAGGTGGCATTCCCTCTTTAGAACCAACAGTCAACAGACGAAAGAAGGGGGGATTCGCGGCGGCGGCGGAGAAAGGAAAAGAACTCCCGGCGTTTATACCGCTAACGGCGACGAAATTTGGGCCGGCCCTCGACAGGCATAAGGCCAATGCTCAGGTAATAAGATATGATCAGGGTTTGCAGCTCGCGCTAACCGTCGCAGTGCATTGCAGCATATGACAAGTCATTCCAGACGGGGGCGTCCAAGGGGGGAGACGTTAATATTAAGGGACGGCCCCCCCGTCAATAGCTCTGCCCCCCTTCCCCCTTCGACCCCTTCGACCTTGGAATGGGGTGCATGGCGTTCGTACGAAGAATACGGACTGGGATCCCATCGCATTGCTCTGGAGTCCTGTGCACGTGTCCATACAACGTACATATAAAGGAGAAAAAGCCCCTCAAATAAGGGCCAGGATCTTATTAATGGGTCCGCTATGGGACGCGGTATTCTCCAAGTGGTCAGTCGCAGGACGAGTGCATGGGGATGTGGATCGCCACTCTTGAAGAATACAACGTAATTACAACCTTGACCTTGCGTCCGCTGTCAGAACACGAAGAAACATCTCCTTCTTGTCCTTTTATTCGTACATGTAAGTAGTTCGTTGGATGACGAGTGCAAAACGCCTGCAGAGGAGGGAGCTTGAGAGAAAAGAGAGAAGAGAGAGAAAAGGGGCGCACCACGGCACCACCAGCAAGTCGGCTATCCACTTGGTGCCTCCCCTCCCCCCCCCCCAACTCATATCATCTTGGCGGGCTATTTTTCGCCGTTCTTCGCGATGCCAGTCGCCCGATAAGTGTCAAGTGTGTAATAGTCGGCGGAGACTTGAAGTTGTTACTTCGTACTTTCGTATGTGCAGGTCAGGGGGCCTCTTGCGAGCGGTTGAAAGGGAGACAGACCATGATATGCATAAAAGAACCCAGGTCGCGCCCCCCTCCACCCCCCGTCTGGAGGCGTTTCAAGCGGAAGGGACTTTCTTCACTCTAATTAGCTTTCCGTCTCTGCTCATCTCATCGGCCCGGGTCTTTTTAATTAGACAAGTTCCGTTTTCTTCTTATCATCTTCTCCTATTTTCTCCGATTGGTTTTGAATCCACCCCAGGCTTGTTTCCCTTAAGAAGGGTCTGAGACGAAAGAGAAGAAGACGGAAAGCCGGCAGAAGAAACGGGCGAAGAAAGACAAGAAGGAGGAGGAGGAGAAGAAGAGAGAAGAGAAGGGAGAAGAGACGGAAAAAAAAAAGAAAGAAAAGAAATGCTTCGCCCTGGCTTCTTCACAACACTCAGTGCTCCCTGGAGGGGGCTCCTCAGTTCACTTCTTAAGGGAAACGCCTCCCACCGATTCCATCCCACAATCGCCAATGACCTGACACCAGAGTCCGAGCAACTCGCCTCCGCGGTCAGGCCAGTGTGCGCCCACATGCTCGAGCAGTTGAAATACCCCGGAGCGCCCAAACTCGAGACAGCAGCCGTAGAGGCTCTGCTGAACTACATGCACAAGAGAGCCGTCGAGATCGGAGTGCCCCTGAACACGTCGATCTCGGGGAAAGGATTCCGCCTGGGCTACGCGGAAGGACTGGCACGTTCATAGAGAGGCCGCCCCACCTTGTCTTGTCGTTGTTGTTGTTTCCCGCCTCGGCGGGGGATACAAAACGAGAAAGAAAAAAAAAAAAAATTGAATGCATGAGGACTCTGTTTTTTGCTGACACCCCAGAAACCAACAGCTGGCCCACCCCGGTCATCCCGTCGAGGTGCAGGGGTATGTGGGACTCTTCACTTGGCTCGTGGTCCAGTACGACGACATCGTCGGCCAGAGCAACGAGATGGTGGACGAGGCGCTGCACTTCCACCGACGCTTCTTCCGCGGCGAAGCCCAGCCCAACGACCTCCTCGAGGGCATCGCCGGCCTGCTCCGCGAGGCCTACGACCACTTCGACCCCGTCATGGCCAACCTGCTGCAGATCTCCGTCCTCAAGTTCCTGACGAGCAACCTGCTGGAACGACACGACGGGTTTCAGCACATGGCCGCCACGCGCGCCGGCGAGAAGTTTCCCGACTTTTACAGAGACCTTTCCGGCATGAACGTCGCGTATGCCGTGTTCTGCTACCCCAAGGCCCTCTATCCTGACGTCAGCGCCTACCTGGAGGCCATACCCGACATGGCCCGGTTCATCGACATTTCCAACGACGTGTTATCGTGAGTTTTTTTCTTTCTTTTTTCTTCTTCTTTTTTTTCTTCTTTTTTTCTTTCTTTTTTTTTTGTCATAGATGCGACCCTACCCTACCTACCCTACACATCCCCCTCCCCCTCCCCCGCCCTTCTTACCGCCCCTTACCCCGTTGCCCCTTGTTTTCTTACACCCCGAATGCTACCTTACCATTTCCACTTTCCCCCCCTTCTTTTTCCTTTTCCTTTTCGCTAATGCCGAACCAGCTTTTACAAGGAGGAACTGGGCGGGGACACGAGGAATTACCTCCACAATCGCGCCACCGCCACGGGAAAGCCTATTCTTACCGTCCTGGATGAGGTGAATCAGGAAGCGATCGACTCCGCAAGGCGAGTGGAGGCTATTCTCAAGGGGAGGGGCAAGTACGAACAGTCCTGGAATGAGAGCGTAAGAGGGTATATGGCGATGCATACCACGAATACTCGCTATAAACTCAGGGATTTGGGTCTGGGCGAGGAGCATCCTCTGGCACCTTTTGAGGAGAAGATTGGCGAGATGATTAACAAATGATTTTCCTTTTTTTTTTTTTTTTTTTTTTCGGGCGGGGGTGTCTTTTCTTTTTCTTTTTCTTTTTCTTTTCTTTTTCTTTTCCTTTTCTTTTTCTTTTCCTTTTCTTTTCTTTTTCCTTGTTTTCCTTGTTTTGTTTTCCAAGGTTGGAGGCATGGCATCGTACGATTCATACGGCAGGACTTTTGGGCTTACTCATTTTCTCATTTCTCATTTCTTTTTCCTCTTTTCCTTGATTTTCCCACGAGGTGGTTTACTTATTGCAGTATATGAAATATACCCATGACGGCCTTTTTTCCAATCTACACTAGTTTCAGAAATGCACCGCGGATGTACGTAAATCTGCTCTGGCTTCCAGGCGATGCTGAACGTTGCCTCGACAAAAATACGAAATGGACTGTCACTGCCGTTGATTAAAGTAGGCGTTTCTCGAGGTCGCGATGCATTGTCGTCTGGCAAACAGCAGAGCCGCTAGCTTTAGTTGGAACGTGGGAACCGCTCGGTTGGGATTGAAGAACAATGGCCGGAAGAACAAAGAAAAAGGGGAAGCTGATGGAACGCGCCTCCCCCCCCCCTCTTTCCCCAAAATAAGCTATGTAACCACATCCCCCGCATCACCCATTGTAAAGGGACCCAATGAGAAAAGCTTTTCCATTCGATTTCGATGGCAACAGAGCAAACTGCATCTCGCCATCTCTGCACCTCTGCACCTCTGCGCCTCTGCACCTCTGCATCTCCGCATCTTATCTCAATTTCTGCCACCCGATTTGAGACAGGGCGCGGAGTCATGGGCCTATGGTCCAAGAATGATTCAAGAACGTCGCCCGATTATTTGACCTGCATTCCAAAGGGAACAGATGTTCTCATGATCAAGGTTGCGCGACCTTTTGTCGGATGATTTACCTTAGGTAGCTTATTAATAAATTTGCGGGATATACGGTGGCGGTCGCGATTGCGGTCGCGTGCGTCAGGCCCAGGAAGAAGGTAGAGTAGAAGGTCGTCCGTGTGACCCACCGCACCACCCGAGTCAGAAATAACAAGTAATAATTACACGTACTTCGTACATAGCATTCCGTAGCAGCCTGGAGAACCCATGCAGCTAGCTGAATAGCCTCTTGGCAGAGGGGTTGGGCTAATATGTGTAGAGATTACAACGTACAGTACAAAGAAAGTACCTATGTAACGCCTTCGAAATACGTTGTGCTCTGTAGATCCCTTACCGTACAGTATGCATGGAACATCTCGGTCCTTCTTACCTTATCCAGTTCCTGCTGTCGACGGGTAAGGTAACATTGAGGCATTGTCTTCGTGACCGGAAGGGACCGGACCTTGGGTCGTATTCTTCATGTCAAAGATGCTCGACACTCCACGCTCGATGCTCGACGCTCGACGCTTGACGCTCGACGCTCGTCATGTCCAAGGTACAAGGGTGCATTGGAAGGGGTGTCCACCTTGCACATGATACATAAGGAGGTACCTTATATTGTAATTAATATTTTGCCAAGATGGTCTGAGGAAGGTTCCCGTAATTAGGTAATTACTTTTTGCCGCTAAGAGCGGTTGCTGTATCTCTACCTTATCTAACAAAAAGTAAAGAGAATGAAAAATAACATAAGAACAGAAAAAGAAGAAAAAAAGGAAAGAAGAAAAAGAAAGAAATAAAAAAGCCATTCGACTATTTCGTCATGTATTTTATTACCACCTCAATTAAGAAAATGGCAAGTCGGTGGTGATTGCGGAGAAAATAAGCTTAGATCTTGACTTTGACCGTTGGTTGGTAACCATGGGCTGAGCTTGGGAATCCACCAGCCACAATTTAGCCCCAGTTTAGCCACATATATCCAAGCCACAAGCGGGGTTGTGGTGCGGTGCGTGGCAGCAGTGGTGGTCTGAGCTTGCTCAGACGAGGCTGGAGCGGAGCGTTCCTGCTGCCAACTTCCCCCCTCTATCAAATATCGTACCTTGGTCAAAGAATCCAGTACCTTGATTTACAATATTCCGAAACTCCTGTTCTATACATTTCCGACTCACACAACACACTCGAGTCAACCTTCCCTTCAGCATGGTTAAGCGATTGCTCCCGCGAGCCATAAGGAAACGCCTGAGTGGGAGCCGCAAGACCGATCGCCGCCTTTCGCTCCCCGACTCGAGCACCACCAGCCTCGATCCCTCGTCGCCCGGCTCGCAACCGCAAACCCCGACACTGCCCTTTGGGTCCGTTAGTACCATCAGTACCGGCAATCCAAGCCAATCGAGCGTCTTCTCCACCTCCAACGACGCCGATGCCTCCGACGAGTCCATCGAGCCCAACCGGCTCTGGGCTGACCCCGTCGTCGAGGTCTACGGCAACATCGTCACCCCGGGCGGCCGCGGCTGCTCCATCCAGACCTACGACGTGGCCAACCGCCGCTGGTACCGCCTCGACCTCGACTGCACCGTGATGGGCGACGAATGGATCGCCCGCCTGGTCGAGAAGCACATCCGAGCCTACTACAACCGCACCCGCTCCCTCCCGCCCTGGAACACCATCCGCACCACCGCCCGCGGCAGCCCCGTCGTCTACAGCACCCAGCCCTACGCCAGCGTCGCCCACCCGCTCACCCGCACCCTCCACTACGGCCAGGAGCCGGGCGACCGCTTCCGCACCGTCCCCTGGTCCGACGTCGTCGAGAAGCGCCACCTCAGCCGGGGCACCGACTCGTGCCGCTGGGACAACAAGAACTGCGTCTTCAAGCGGATCGAGTTCGACTCGGACGCCGCCATCATCCAGCGCGCCATCCGGGTCCGCGAGGACCTCGTTGCCCGCCTCGAGGCCGACCCGGACCCCAAGAACCCCAACGCCCCGACCGACATCTTCGCCGAGATGGAGCGCCGCCTCCACGTCGTCCCCATCCTGGCCGTCGTCGTCCGCGACGAGGCCACCCCGGGCCCCTGGCTCCCCGGCTCCGTCGCCGGCGTGCTCATGCCCAACGCCGGCATCAGCCTCGACCGCCTCGCCGACCGGGGCCCCCTCCCCGTCACCGAGGCCCAGCTGCGCGACCTCACCCGCGGCGTCCGGGAGCTGCACAACCTGGGCGTCATGCACGGCGACATCTGCGACTGGAACGTCACCATCCAGACCCCGCTGGGCGGCGTGGCCGCCTACTCGCGCGGCCGCCTGCTGCTCGTCGACCTCGGCAACGTGGCGCCCGAGTACGAGGGGGACGCGAAGATCCTGGGCCGCCTCATCTCGTGGGTCCTCGCGCACTCGCAGATTCGGGACCGCGAGTCGCAGGCTCGTCTCGAGGAGGCGGCTCGTATCCTCCGGGAGGACGGGGACCTGGATCGCGCCCTGGGGGCCATGGCGGCCTAGGCGTGAGGAGGAGGAGAAAGATTTATACTTTCGGAGCCTGAATGGGACAAGAGAAACGGGGGGACTTTTGTGAAGGCTCGATGAGCGGATACGACGGAAGGCTTCGGGAGCCGAGGTCTTGGCTGTCGAGTGAGCGTGGAGTTTGACGGAGTTTTGACGGTGCCCATTTCAACGCCATTTCAACGCCATTTCGACGCCCGGGGATTTTCGTCATGCGATGGATGAGCAACAAACCAACTCTATTAACGAATTACGACAACGCCGATACATCACCGAGGCTGAATGGCATCACAAACGCATTAGCTTGTTTGCATTTGGATTTTAGAGCCCTCTCTGACGACGTGGCAGCTGGACCACATTGTTGAACCGAGAAAGCCTGGACGTATCAAAATACCAAATCTTTGCATTTGCGGCGTCTCGACCGTCTCTTTTACGGCGCCACTCGCCTACCCCTCGGAACCTACTGTACGTACTGTGCCCACTCCGTAAGGTATGGCATGATATTGGCCATCGTAAGGTTAAACTCTGTCGACGAACTCTGAGAACGTCTTCAACCAATGGGTAAAGTAATGTGAGGTCTCTGCGAGATTCCAGAGGCCTATATAGGCAGGGCCCCCTTCCCAAGGAAGAGGAACTGGAACTCAACCCTTCGACCCTTCGACCCTTCGACTCTTCAACTTTTCTTCTTTTCTTCTTTTCTTTCCCCTCCAGATCTAGTTCTCGCGGACTTGATCGCTCACTCTCGCCAGTCAACGTACTGTCTTTGGATACGACGAATAATGCAGTAGTACACTACTCGCTTCTTACTGTCCTCCCCCTCCCCCCCCCTTCCTTTTCTCCCTCTTCTCCCTCCTCTTCTTCTTGTTGCTATTGCTGTTGCTGTTGCTGTCATTCTTCCCTCTTTATTATTCTTGATATTATTACGCATATTATTTCCTTCACTTCGCTTTTAAACACCCCACTTTCCAGAGGTGGACATATCTTCCGTTTCGGCCCCCTGTTCTTCGCATACGGATCAGCAACATGGCATACTTTAACGCCATCGCCATCGCCACCGCACACGAGACCCAGATCCGCCAGTACATAGAGGCGCTAAAGGATGTGGTTTTCGAGTGTCTCGCCCCCGACTGGCTCTTCCAAATGAAGGGATACGACGCGCGGCAGTTCATGGAAAGGTTCCAAAACGAACTCGAGCTTGTCAGGACCGCCCAGGCCTTGTACGAGAAAGGAAGCCGCAGGACGAGTTCCATCATCGCGACCCTGGATCGCGAGGGCCGATTCGCCACCCTCGGGGAAGGCATTGTCCCGCCCGTGTTTCCCCGTACGCCGCCTGCGCCGTTCGCGCCTTTCACCGTCGTCCGTCGTCGCCGTGTGCCGCCCCCGGATTCGGACGAGGTACCTCCCATGCCTCCTCATCCTCCTCCTCCTCCTCCTCCTCCTCCTCCTCCTCCTCCTCCTCCTCCTCCTCCTCCTCCTCCTCCTCCTCCTCCTCCTCCCCCTCCCCCCCTGGATACCGTCGTCGGCCCAGCCAACCCCCTTACCCGCTTCCTGAGTCGCGACGGCGAGACCTACGCCCACATCATGACCAGGTCCTTCGAGGCGCTGAGTTGCGCCAACCGGCTCGAGACCGTGGACCACCTTCTCCAGCTGGCGGTCCTGATCGCCTGGCTTGTGCTTCGGGCCGAGCACCTGAAGTATCGGATACAGACAGGTACACTGCCACCGCCGACGCCCGGTGGCCAGGGCGACCCTCTTTCGGGCGACGGGCGGGCTCTGGGGGACGACGCGATTAGGGTCGGGCGGCAGGCTGTGGAGGCAGGCATTCGTCACTGGCCTGAGATCTAGGGACGTCGACGTGATTGAGGATGCCAGGGGCATGCTGCAGGAAGCGTACGACGAGGTTGAGTTTGAATGGCGCCGTGTTATGCAGGAATCCGTCGTTGATTTGGTGGCCGACGACGAGGACGATGAGGACGACGGAGCATACGGAGGGGACGACGAAGAGGAAGCCGAAGCCGAAGCCGAAGACGGCCTGGGACAATCACTGTGGGCACAAGAACCGTCGCAAGAGGATAGTGTACCATGGCTTGAGATGGTGGAGCAAACACGCGTATTTCAGCTTCGGAGGCCCTTCACTCTTCAGACTGTTATTGGGCATCCGCGAGAAAGCGAGAGGAAGAGGGAAGGAGACGACGATAAGGAGAATGTGGCGCCTCCTGAATCGAGGGTGCCAGGACATCCGATACTACCAAGCATGGTTTCGACAAGCGACACACGCCGCCAGGACTTGCTAGATATAACGAACGAGGAAGGAGAAAACCCGGCGGGACGAAATATTGCATATCTGGGATATACTACAGGTCCTGGATGATCGCGCGTACCTTATAAGAAGAGATGGCCATTGTGACGAATGAGCGGTCATATTTTGTCCGGAGGTTGATGTCTGAATACCGTTTCTGTGGGTTCTCATTTGTCAATGGGACCCGGATATGAATGCATCTTATGATACTTGAGAGCATTTTAGGGAATATACATGTAAGGATCGAGGCGAAGATGGTGATGATACAATGCGAGTGAACACTGTGAATAAGGTACCCCAGAGTACGAGCTTACGTACCTAGGTAGTATTGGTACCTTGGCTTCTTTGTCGTAGGGAGAAAAGAGTGGGTCAAGCTCTCTGGACCCCTGAAGCCCCTCACTAAACCGTTTTGGGGCTAGCGTATGAACCCCGCCATCGCCGTGTATTTTCTCTCCTTCCCCTATCCGTATGCCTACCCAATCTCCTGCTTCTTTTTCCTCCTCGAAGCTCTCACCACGACAAAGGGAAAACAAAACCCAGGGTTATCAACCTGTGATTCAATCTTGGGCAATTCCAGAAACCCCAGATATACGCCCTCTTCTTCTTACTTCCAGTACTGCTCTACCTCGGCTTGAGCTCCCCCCACGCATCCCTCGAACAGCAATCCCTGCCTGACTGACCTTGACCGCCTCATCCACCCACCCCCCCCAAACAACACCAACAATGGCGGACAAGACCATCTATCGGGCCAGCACAACCGCCCCGGTCAACATTGCTGTGGTCAAGTATGCGTTGCCTTCTCTACTTTCCGAGCCCGGGTTGATCCATTCTCGATCTTTCGTTGGTCTATCGTCACAGTATGCCCTTTCGCTGACCTCTATCCCTGCAGATACTGGGGCAAACGGGATGCCCAGCTCAACCTCCCCACCAACAGCTCCCTCTCTGTCACCCTCTCCCAATCCGACCTCCGCACCCATACCACCGCTTCCTGCTCCGCCTCCTACCCGGAAGGCGACTCGCTGCTCCTCAATGGCGAGCCTTCCGACGTGACCGGCCACCGCACCCAGTCCTGCTTCCGCGAGCTGCGCGCCCGCCGCGCCGCCCTGGAAGCCGCCGACCCTTCCCTCCCGAAGCTCTCCACCCTGCCCCTCCGCCTCGTCTCCGAGAACAACTTCCCCACCGCCGCCGGCCTGGCCTCGTCCGCCGCGGGCTTCGCCGCCTTCGTCCGCGCCATCGCCAACCTCTACGCGCTCCCCGACTCGCCCGCCCAGCTGTCCCTCATCGCCCGCCAGGGCTCCGGCTCCGCCTGCCGCTCCCTCTTCGGCGGCTACGTCGCCTGGCGCATGGGGTCCCGCCCCGACGGCTCCGACTCGCTGGCCGACCAGGTCGCCGAGGCCTCCCACTGGCCCGACATGCGGGCGCTCATCCTCGTCGTCAGCGCCGCGAAGAAGGGCGTCGCCTCCACCTCGGGCATGCAGCGCACCGTCGCCACCTCGGGCCTCTTCCAGCGCCGCATCGACGACGTCGTGCCCCGCCACATGGACGCCATGGAGGAGGCCATCCGCGACCGCGACTTCGCCGCCTTCGCCGAGGTCACCATGCGCGACTCCAACTCCTTCCACGCCACCTGCCTGGACACCTACCCGCCCATCTTCTACCTGAACGACGTCTCGCGCGCGGCCATCGGGGCCGTCGAGGCCGTCAACGAGGCCGCGGGCCGGACCGTCGCCGCCTACACCTTCGATGCCGGCCCCAACGCCGTCGTGTACTACCTGCAGCAGGACGAGGAGATGGTCGTGGGCACCTTCTCGGCCCTGCTGGGCGACGTGACCGGTTGGAAGGACGGCGTGCAGAGCTACAAGTCGCCCGTCGTCCTCGTCGAGCGTCTTTCTGAGGTTATCAAGACCGGCGTGGCCCGGGTCATCATGACCGGAGTCGGAGAGGGTCCCGTCAAGACGGACGAACACCTGGTCGGCGAGGATGGGCAGCCGATTGTGCGGTAGTTAAGGCGTAGTAGGGATAAAAGTGTGGTTTCATGATAAACTCATGGTAAGCAGGAGGGATCTGCTTGCGGGTTTACACATATACATTACGTAGCAAGAATGTCTGGCTTTCTTCTTCTTTTTTTCTTCTTTTCTTTTCTTTTTCTTAATCGCATTTTTGCAAGCATATTCGTGATTGTTCCGATGGTTGAGTGGAGAGATGTCTTCTTTACTTTCAGTCCACAATACGATCATCGTCATCGTCAACGTGGTGGAACCCAAAGTCCAGAGTACTTCACTCTTGCCAGAGTGACATATTCATTTGGGTCTCTTCTCCATGTTTGTCCGTACTTTAGGTATTCCTTGCCTTTTCTTTTTAATGGCCTTAATCCAGGCGCATAATGCATTCTCCCCTTCCCCCCTCACAGACGCCATGTCCTCTGGATGCGCCGATCCTTGAGGGATGGTGATTCAATTGTGCCATCTTCCCCCACGAGTCACGTCACTCCCCGTTCTCAGGTGCTTTTCAACTGCCGCACCTCTCAATTGCACCAATTCCCCCCCGACCGAGAATGCTGTGACAAGGCTTGTGATTCTAACGTGGTCCGTCCCGTCAATTCATCGCATTTATTCCGTACACCTATCCCGTACAGTCGAAAAGCAGGAACCCTTCGCCACGATGGCAGACTCTCACCAAACAAACGACGGACTCGAACAGCCGCTTCTCACCGCCGACGAGGCCGAGGAATCGCCACCACAAGTCGACAGCCGAGCGGCTGGTTACGGGACTACCACTGCCCCGGCTTCTTCTCGTAAGGCCCACGAGGAACAAAGAGGCACGTTCACACGCAACCTCGGAGCCGTCGAGGCGTTCGGAATCCTAGTCAGCATCGTAATCGGCAGCGGTGTCTTCACATCTCCCGGTGCCATAGATACGAACGTGCCTTCGCCGGGCGCCGCGCTCCTGGTCTGGCTCTTGGGAGGCGTGTTAGCGTGGACGGGCGCCAGCACCGTGGCCGAACTCAGCACAGCCATCCCGGGCGAAGGAGGCGTCCAGCCCTACCTCCAGTACATTCTCGGCGAGGTAGCCGGGTTCCTGGCCGCCTGGACATGGGTCGTGGCCGTCATGCCGGCGACGCTGGCCATCCTCAGCATCGTCTTCGTCGAGAGCGCCTTCTCGGCCGCCGGCGTCACCGACCAGGCGGCCGGCCTCCCCCACAAGCTGCTGTCCGTCCTGGTCCTGCTGGTCATGAGCGTCGCCAACTCCATCAGCACCAAGGCGAGCACGCGGCTGAACGGCTTCTTCGTCCTGACCAAGTTCGTTACCATCTTGGCCGTCGTCGTGGCGGGGTTGGCGGTCGTGCTGCTGCGGATCAGGGACCCGGACAGGGACGTCGGGGGGCGCGACTGGTTTGAGAAGTCCTGGTTTGCCTATCGCAAAACGACCAATCCCGACGGAAGCGAGACCGACTGGGCAAAGCTCGGCCAGTGGGACACGCTTGGGCATTATTCCGCAGCTCTATACGGAGCTCTGTGGGCCTATTTTGGGTGGGATAAGGTGCGTTTCCCCGTGTCACGGAAAGCAGAGAAATTAGGGGACCGGGACCTGTGCTTAACATCCAGCGCTGCCGCCTTCAGGCTATCTACGTCTCTGCCGAGCTAAGGTCGCCGGCCCGGCAGCTACCTCTGGCCATCAATTCGGCCATCCCGACTATCGTCGTGAGCTTCCTAGCCGCCAACGCAGCCTATTACATCCTCCTCCCATGGAAGGTGATATCTACGACGGACAGTGTAGCTGTGGTATGTACACCATGTATCGTCCGAGTGGCAGGTGATAGCTTCTTCAGGCGTTGACACTGCTCTCAAATAGACCGCGATCACTCGTCTGCTAGGTCAAGGCTTCGGCATAGTGGCGGCGATTCTAATCTGCCTAGTAGTCGCAGGTTCCCTCCTCGGCAACTCGTTCGTGGCAGGCCGGATGGCCGTGGCAGCTGCCAACAAGGATTGGTTCCCTCGACTGTTCGCAGCGGTGGGACGCATCGGCCCGCATGCTGCGGGCGTATCTGCCTTCTGGCGCAGGGACGGGGCGAGGGTGGGAGCACACGAAGCTGACGACGACGACGACGACGATGACGACGACGACAACAACGCGGAGACCAACAAATCGGCCTCGGACGCACCAATCAACGCCATCATCCTGTCGTTCATCCTCGCTACGGTGTATATCCTCGTGGGAAACTTCCGCGCGCTGCTAACCTTCAATGGTTTGGGCGAGTATACGTTCTTCTTTCTAACCGTGCTGGGAGCCATCATCCTGCGATTCCGAGAGCCAGGACTGCACAGGCCCTATCGACCATTCATCGTCGTCCCCGTGATCTTCGCGCTTGTCAGCGGCTTCGTTGTGGTGCGGGGTGCCGTCTTCGCACCGGTGCAGGCGGGAGTCTTGTTGGCGGTATGGGCGTCGGGGTTGGCATTCTACTGGGCGAGGAGGAGGTGGTTTGCCAGGGTATGATTGTGAGAGTTTTCACTATGTTGCGCTGCTTAGCAAACAGAATTAGATTAGCGTAGGCGCGGGATGTCGACCTGCTGGATCTAAAGTGGGCAAGTTGAAATATATGATGGTTGAAATTGGGCGGGGGGGATCGCCGGATCGGTGGGGGTTGAGGAGACGTTATGATGACAAGAGGAACCACACCTGATACGTCTCCCTACCTTACCTTATGACTTGCAGTACCTGGGGTGTGCAGGCAGCTACCTCTTTGCTTGGCAAACTGGAGGGGGGAATGAGGTATACTTGCGGCTGCTTGGGTACCCCGTCGATCCGCATCTGTTCATTCAAACAAAAGGCAACTGCGTCACCACTGCGGCTTCCCACTCGTCTTACTCCTTCCGCCCACTCCATAAGGTAAGGTACCTTAGTCCTTCGTACCTGCCGTCAACCACGCCACTAGAACCTCCACTGGATCTATTGCTCCGAAGTAGGGCAGGTACTCATGTAGTTCATCCCGAATTTATATGAGAAATCTTTGAAGTCTTTCTCTCCATGGGCTCTCTCGTCAGCGCCTCACTTTCCTCCCTTCCCCTCCTCTCCTTCTTTTAACTTCTCATCGACCTCCCTCACCATACTCCACACCAATACCGACCTCCTGCCATCGCCCCCAAAATCAAGCAGAGACTGGTTTAGACACGCGTCTATCGCCATGACAACTCTCCCACCTCCTATCCCAGGCTTCCCCGACCCTGACGAGGCGCCCGGCACAGCCCTCGACACGGAAGGGCCGTCGTCGCCGCTCGATGACAGGTACCATGTGCATATAGAGCAAGCACATGACGCCAAGATGAACATCATCGTTGAAGACCGGGACAAATCAGGCCGAACCATCGTCCGCCGTTGGCTTCATACTCCGGACAACAGGATCATCGAGGTGTGCTCCCCATAGTCGTCTCGGCGCCCTCCTGCATTCCCTTTGTTTTTCTGACGGACCGGCAGATACCCCTCAGCGATAGACCGCGTTCCTCCTTGTTTCGTTCTTTGCAAAACTTTCGCCAAGTCATCTTTGACGCCTTCCTCCCCATCGGGTATCCCAACTCCGTCGCACCCGACTACCTCCCGTATCAGATATTCGACTCTCTCCAGGCCTTCTTCTCCACAATCACCTCGCTGCTGGCCAACCGCGCGATTCTCCAGGGCTTGGGTGTCGGCGACGCCTCGTCCTCAGCCACCTATGCCCTTCTCCTCACCATTCTCAAAGACGCCGTCTCTCGCGTCGCGACCATCGTCTTCGCCTACCGCTTTGGGCTCTCCGTCGAGCCCGACGCCAAGCGCTACCGATTCCTCGCCGACCTCTTCAACGACTCGGCCTTCTTTCTCGACCTCGCAAGTCCCTACTTGGGCACCTGGGCCAAAATTGCCGCCCTGACTTTGGCAGAAGCCCTTCGTGCTCTTTGCGGTGTCGCCGCCGGAGCCAGTAAAGCCGCCCTCTCCAGTCACTTTGCCCGCAGCAACAATTTGGCCGAGCTGAACGCCAAGGAAGCGAGTCAAGAGACCGCCATCGGCCTAGTTGGCCTTCTCACCGGCAGCGTGATTGTCCGCTTTGTCGAGTCCCGCGAAGCCGTCTTCTCCCTTATGATCCTCCTCGTCTTCGTCCATTTGTGGATGAACTATCTGGGTGTGTGCTGCGTTCAACTGGAGACCCTCAACCGCCAGCGCACCACCATCCTGGTCCAACATTACCTCGGTACTGGCCAAGTGTTGACGCCTGCACAAGTGGCTCAGAGGGAGAATATCGTCTTCTGGGCCCCCTTCATCAGAAACAAGGATGGCGTCCTCGTCGCTCACGTCACCTACGCTCGAAGCTACCGCGAGGCCATGCCGGATGGTTACCAGCCTGTCGTTTACGGAGACGCGGGGTTCCGATTGATCATATGGCGCTCAACGGGCCCAGTCGTACCCATGAAGATCCTCCTCAGTGGCGACAAAGAGGAGGAATTGGCCGCTCTGGAAGCTTGGATTCTAGCTGTCAGGATCGCTTGGAATCTCGGACGGAAAGGTGGCGGGAACACTAAGGCGGGGAGGATCATCCCGAGGCTGCGCACCGGAGGCTGGCGTCTCGATGAACACGGGTTCGAGACGGGCATACCGATTCGGACGTGGACCGCGGTAGTAGGAGATGAAGACAAGGTCGAGGGGCATGCCAAGAAGACGCAGTGAAAAAGACCGCCTGGGGAGTTGTTTCTCGGTCCTTGTGGAGTCATTGGCCGTTGGAGCAATTAAAAGGACTGGCAAGTAGTTTCGTGCTGCTGCGTATATACTGACAAGGTGGAGAGATGGTTTCCTCGCTGGGAAACCGTGCTAGGCCATTGCATCGAGACGGTTTAACAGTCCGTCCGAGTTCGGTCTTCCTAATACCCTAAAGACCGCTGGGAGGTGGGATTTGCTTCCTTTCGGATCCCTGGAAAGCGATTAACCCAGTTACGCCCCGTATTTCCCTTGTTCTATCGTCTATATCCAGGGATATACCACATCCCCCTCTCGTAGTTAGAATCATGCGATATAGTACACAGCACGGCGGCTGAAGATACGCGCGACCTTACACGAGCCCCAATGTACGGGCAGCGCGCATCTTGACGCCCTCCCAGGTATTCAGCTTGGGGCGAACGTCCAGATAGAAGCTCGGCCGGCCCAGGGCGTCCTTGGTGCCGCTTCGGCCCGCGTAAAAGTCGATCACGTACTCGACGCGCACACCGCACCGGTCGACGACCCAGTCGTGTCGGTCGAAGGGCGCAGTGTAGCCCAGGAGCGTGTTGAGGCGGGCCTTGGGGGACATGCGTTCCGAAAGTCCCGTGAAGGAATGGAGGCGGGGACCGTCGCAGCTGTTTTGCATTGCAACCACGGTCTCTGTTAGCAAAGCTTTTGACTCGGTAAGGAACATAATAATCAAAAGGGAAAAAAAAAAAAAAAGGAGCGAGACGGGGTAAAGGAATTGGGAAAAGCGGAAAATAGAAAGGGAGAAGAGGACGTACGCAGCGCCTTCGACATAAGGTTTCTCCCATTCCCGAATTTCCTTCCACGCACGCTCGTTGACGGCGTTGTGGATAGGGACCACGGTCTTCATGTCGACGTCGCGGACCTTGTCGTGGCCCTTGCGACGCATGGCGTCAAAGAACATCTTCTCGGAAGGGTATACCCAGTTCCCCGTCACGGGGTCGGCGCCGGTATCGCGCTCGCTGTTGGCAGGGGGCTGTGCTGGTTCCGGAGCCGCCGCCGGAGACGGGGAGGTTGCATGGTCGACGGGACAGGAGGAGGCTCCCGGGTTGACGGTGCGGGGAATGGAGGAGACGACACGGTGGGTGTCAAGGCGTTCTTGTTCTGCGGAGCGGGTTGGTTGAGAAGATTGCGGTGTGGTGGAGGAGGACGGGGAGGATGCGAAAGGGAGATAGGAACGGAGTGTCGTTGTCCAGGAGGAAGATGATTGTGTGGTTGTTGAAGCCGAAGTTGATGCCGAAGGTAGGGGAGGGTGGTTGGACGGGAGCTGCTGTGCGTTCGGAGGCGCGGCCGAGTCTGTAGTGTTTGATGCGGCGCGGGCTTGGGAGAGCCAGAGTTCCCGGGCTTTGTGGTCGACGGGGCAGACGTCGGCTTGTCCGGCGCCCGGTGCTGCTGGTGTTGGTGTATTGGAGTCGGGCATGGTGAATGGATATCCTCTGCTTGCAGGCACAGTTTGGGATGTGCCAAGGAAAGCTCCAAGGACGATGGACGCCCCCTACAGGTTCAGTATTTTGAGGCTAATTGCTCCGTAAAAAATAAAAGATACTTAGATGTGGCTCGTTGAACCGAAGTTGGAGGAACTGATACGGAGCAGATTGGAAATGGAAATTTGCTGCTGCCATCCGTCGGGAAATTAATTTGGAGATCCGCGGGTCGTCCATTAAAGGTATTAGTCACACATGTTACATAATCGATTGGTAGGGATGGACATCACAAATCTATTCTTATGTAAGTACTTCGTACCACCCACCTGAACATCGCCGTTGCTTCGGCCGTTTCCCATCAACGATTATCAGTAATCTAACTCGGCGTGAAAGCTATACCCCTAGCGTCTATAACGTATAGAAGAAGAAAAAAGGGAAAAAAGGGAAGGAAAAAAGGAAGAAAAAAAAAAAGCCTTACTCGGGAGAATTAGTCCTCACTGACCGTCCAGAGGCGAGCAAGTCCATGCCGGGTTATCTCCGCGACGCTTCGTTGAGAAGGGATGGGACGGAGTGATCGTCTTCGTTATGCGTCCATCGTCGTGTACCTAGGTACGTGTATAGGTAAGGTACCGAAGGTACCTACCTTGAGAAATGCGGTTCTCGGTCTCAACGTCAATTGTCTCTATGCCTGATAATTGACTTGTGCCGTGAGAATTCGCTATGCTGTACGGAGTATGGCGTACAAGTACGGCCCGTCGGTTGTTGTTTATTAATTAGCAAATCGCCGAGGGCGGTTGCCCAACCCTGAAACATTCCACATGTGCATTCCATGCTTGACCATAGCCGATTGGAGAAGCAGTTTCGTAGGTACTTCGTACTTCATTCCGAGCTCGTAGGACAGTTCACAAGATACACATTTCAGGGGCGGGTCAAGTAATATTGTATGTGCATTGTAGATAGTCTGGCTATCGGTAGATACATGAAGTGAAGGAGGCTCGATGGTGAAGCAAATGTAGGCGGAGGACGGAAGACAAAGCAGGCGATCGTCTATCCCAACACCCCCCAAATAGTCGTCCCATCAATTCCGAAACCCGTCACCACGCACGCCGCCGGGAGGCATTGTACTGGCCGGTCTGTCCTATACGAGAGGCAACGGTTTTGGCGTTCCATGACAATACGTTAAGACCCGTAATCCTAGTTTCCAGGCCATGGCTTGTCATGAACACCACGGCCTCTTCGGCCTATTTCTGGTCGAAGGGATATGGAGACCGGCATCTAGCCAGGTCAGTTTCGCCGCCCGGCCAGCAAGCCCAGGGCTCATCCCCAAACATGGTCGTCAGCCCCCGACACACTCCCGTGCCGGCGTAACAATGGTTGTCGCGACCATTTGAGATGTAACGAGTCTTTTCTTCGTTTTCCTTCATCATTTTTATATGTTTTGTTTGATTTTTTTTTCTTCTTCTTTTTTCTCAGTTGAGCATCACTCAACCGAAGAGGGAAGCGCCGCCCGACTCCACCGCTTCCAGCTCAGCAACAGGAATGGGCTGGCGGTGGAAGCGGGCGGGGAGCTCTGAGACGTCGAAAAAGGCGCCCTTGGGGGCAGCAACGGCGCCGAGCTGGCTGCCAGAGGCGGCGCCGATGCTGTCGCTGGAGCGAATGGTCTTCTGAAGGGGACCGTGCTGCTGGGCGTGCTGGCGGTAGGAGCTGAAGTTGGCGTGCTTGAAGCCGACACCGTTCTTGCCGAAGCCCTCGGGGAGTTGCCCGCTGGGAGAGGCGGGGTGTGGGCGAGGAGTATGGTCAATCGACTCTGAGGGACGGGTTTAGTAAATAGACCAGGAACGAAAGAAGAAAAAGAAGAAAAAAAGGCTGCATGTGAGGAATGCATGCTACATACCAGGGATGGAGCGGCGACCAATGAAGCGGATGCTGGGGGTGCGCTCGGCGTGAGCGGCAGCCTGGCGAAGAGCTCGGGTGGTAGAGAACATTTTCTAGTCTGATTCGTGTGGCTGTCTGTTTAAAAAATAATACGGCTCGACACAGGGAAAGTGTCGTAAAAGCTTCAGAAAAGGTGGTGATGGAATGGGGTGGGGAAAGAGCGTTGTCGTGAGAGTGTGTTTCGTGGTCCCGAGGATGGGTTGAAGCGGCCCTGCTGATAAAGCCCGAGGTGCTGGCGTAAGGTAGTTGGAGATCACAAGGATAATAGTCGACCACAAGTCTAAGATTCGAATTGAAAGTCAAATATCGTGCTTATTTCGCGCGAACACGGAGCTTTATCAGCAGGATTTCGGAGGCAAGGGGAAGGGGGGCGTTCGACGTTGTCGGGGAGTACAAAGGTGGGAAGAGGAGAAAGAGACAAGAGACGGAGAGGACGAGGATGATGGGAGGCCGAAGAAATAATATTCGCGGATGGGTGGAGGGTGGAGGGTGGAGGGTGGCACGGAGGTTAGCGGAGGTGCCAAAGAAGTGGGAAGTCTAGGGTCTGTGCAGCGGCGTGCAGTGAAGTCGGCATGACGCGAACCAGGAATGTTTGGGGGTTCGCCTGGGGTGGGCAGGGGTGGTGGGGGGGGAATGGTAGCAAGGTTGGCAAAATTGGGAAGGTTAGAAAGGTTGGTGGTCCGATGCGTCCCGACGACCGGACCTGAGTACGGAGTAACTAGTGTAGATGAATTTTCACAAGCGTTTCCCACTTCGGCCTTACGTTGTACATATGTTGTGTGTGTCCAACAGTAATGCCGCCAAGCGTCGCAATCGGCACTACCAGCAGGAACTCTGGTTTGTCAAGTTCTGTACACTACAATGTCGTACTTAAAGCGGCCTAGCCCCTGAGGGACTTATTAACTTCTCGACTTCTATGAGAAAGGTAGGGATATGCGAAGTAGGAAAAGCCATGGCAGTTGCGAACTGGCCTCAGGCACTCATTCGGATTGGTACGGAACCAAGTCTTAGCTTCCAGTAACGCCGCTAGTACAACATAGGGTACCTGGAACTTAAGGAGGACCCATAACGGCGGATAAAGTACGTTCAACGGTATAACGTAAACACGCACCACACACTGCGAGAGTGTAGAGTGTAGAGAACAAGCAGGAACAACCAAAAAAAAAGCCCTTCCCTCGTCCGACTGCAGCGCTTGCATCGGCCCAACCTTGGTTCTAAAGGACAACTCAGATAACTCGTTACGCGACCAGACCACTAAGATCAGCACCAGGATTAGGACCACCTAGGTGCCTTTTGCACTGAACCCGGCATTTTACCCAGAAACTACCCATATCGGTTATATTTTAACGCAAGCTGCCCGGCCAATACGGCTGAGGTTGCGGCTCGATTTCAAATACCCGTATGTCAAACCCAACTCCAACGCGACGTCGTGGATAATCACGGATGCCTAACTGTGTGAAGCACGATTTGTGTGAACATGCCATTCATGCCGTGATGCTCTTCTGAGATCACCCCACCACCCACGCCTTTCCTCCTCCGATTTTCGGCCGGCCGTCACCGCCCGCCAGTAGTTTATTTGTATCAACAAATTGATGACCATGATAATCTCGTCAACGGTACCTGTTGCCAGAATCGTTTCACCTCGAACCAATAAATGAGTAAGCCTAGATTCAATTACGAGTATGATGCCGATACTCCCCTACGAAGACGATGTAATCATTTTGGCATCCACTTTTGCATTCGGGCACCCGACTTGATTGTTTTTTTACTTGTGCGTTCTTCTCGCGAGTCGTGCTCCATTTCATTATGGAGCATTTTGCTTGATTGGCCTACCTAGGTACATACTCTGTAGTCTCACGAGCCTCGGGGTTCTTTGTTTCTCTTGCCCACCTAAGGTATGCTCTTGCTGGGTAGTTCTACGAAGTACGTTGTACATACGCATACTACCGCGGCCGCCGCCATCACCTCTCTCCTCTTTGTTCGCCAATCGCCGACGCATGTTGGCGATGGTGTGTACGAAGTACGAAGTACGAAGTACTGTACTGCTACCCAACCTGGACTCCCCCACGGGCTTCTTGTTAAAGTTAAACCGTTGCCAGGGATTCTGATGTGTGCCCCGCTTTACCGCGTGGCCCCTCTGCAGCTCGGGGTGCCATGTTACTTCGTAGTCCCCTACCCGGACCTACCAGGACGCTACTCATCACTCGGTATCAACCCATCCCCCAAGCCACGTCGCAAACGGGCTTTTACCTTGTTGCTGATGTTTCGGCTTCCGCATCTACACGTGTACACTACAACGTAATTCCAGTACGGCGTGCTTCGTACCTCGGCTCGGTCGTGCCAAGTAATTCTACCGCGACTATCGTCTCCGGCTTCCTCGGACCTTCTTTGGATCGGCATACTCTTTCTTGGTGTTCTACTCGGCCTTGCACGCTGTACCAACTCGAATCTCAAGTTCGGGTCTCCCTTATTTTGGCTTCGACAATTATTATAAGCTATTAGGGGATCCGTACCTTATGGATCACGGGCCTCTTCCGTACGAAAGAGGTAGTCGCGATGCTCGATAGTTACCTTTCCCCCCCTGTGGGACAAAGAAGCGATCGACAAACGTCTGCTTGCTCCGCCGAAACTTTCACCGAACGTCATCGGCTTCGGTGTGCCCCGGAGTTTGTCCTTGATTACTATTTCTCCGTACATGCCATCCAATCTCATTTGGTTATTTGGGGCATGTAGTGTAGTCTATATGAACGTCGTCGGATGTGGCGGCCCCCAATGCTGTGCTTCCCACCCATGAAGCGTCGTACCCATCTACTCAAGCGAGGCCCACGATCATCCTTTATACCCTGTTACTTGCGAGTGTTATACAGAGTTTGTGTTCTTACGTTCTTACGTGCCCTCTCTCATTGCAGCAATGCTCTCACTTCTTCCTCTTCCAGGAACGGCTACGGCTACCATCATTGATAGGGAGAGGCACTGCGAAGCCATCTTCACCATGAGCACATTCATTACTTCAACATGCATAGTCAAGTAGCAGCAGTTTTCAACCCTTCCCAAATTCGTTGCATTCCCAACTTGACGCGTACGATCATACAAAAGCAGACGATTCTTCAAGTCGGAAACCAGCCCCCCCCCCTTTTTCTTTCTCACTCGCTCCACCTTTCCCCCCTGATTCAATACGGCAGCGGCCAAAGGCAGACACCGTTGCACAACCATGGTCCCGTCCGGGTACATTGCAGGGTCGGGAGATAGTCGGTTTCGTAACAGGTCAACCACCAGTCCGCGCACGGGTACTCTCGCGCATTGCACCTCGGTGGGTATTTGGGGAGGCAGATGCCCATCAACTCGCTGCCGATGGAACCTTGTTGACGGGGGTCGGGAACGCACTGCTCTCCTTCGGGGCAGCCGCGGGTTGCGGATCCGGTAGGCGGGGGGCGGCACCTCGTATAGCGGACGGGGAATGGGGGCGGAGCGGGGGGGAGGACCTGTCGCGGATTGATGGGTTCGGGTCCGACCGGCTGGCACACGACCACGGCCGAGAGGGTCGCGATGGTGGTGGCGATGGCGAGCTTCATGGCAAATAAAAGGATGGTCTTTTGTTTCTTGATGAAAAGAAGCGGCACTCTTGTGAATTTCAGGGAACGCGGAGTTGTTTGGGTGATCCCGGGGGGGGCTTGTCTGGCTGGGAATGCGGGCAGATTCGGGTTTGCGATCCAAGGTTGATACCGAACCGAAGGTGTGCGAGTGCAACGTTCGAAGAGTGCTGTTTGGGGCAGATATATATATATCCCATTGCGGGAACGGCCACTTTCCAAGACAACGGTAAGTTGGGCGTAGAATATTGATGCTCCCTTCCCATGGAGCCGTCTGATTTTTTCCGCCCTTCAGGACATTCGGCATTGAACCTTCCGTGTGTTGCATTTCCCCAGATAGGACGTTCACTTCGTCTCCTCTCTCAGCCGTGTTCGGTCACGAGGTCAAGCCCCAATCAATGGACAGGCACGACGCCACGCCGAGCTCTCCAAGAGACATTCACCCTCCTCGAACGCAAGCTGAGCTGAAGACGAGGCCGTGATTAGGCAGCAGTTGCCAACCAGGCGGGATGCAATTAATTTACTGCGTGATATATTAAGCCTCGAACGGCAAGCAGGCTTCATCCAGAACACCCGTGGGTATCATTCACGGCGTTGGCGGCGGGTCGGATGGAAGGCCACATAGAACGAATGGATGGTCGGGACGGCACGAAAGATCCAAGACCGTCACCGATGTATGCTGGAACTGGTATAAAAAGCCGAAGAAACAAGCACCGGCTATTTGTAGTCCGGGCGGGGTTGATATGCAGAGATGAGGCACAGCCGCGTACGTAGGATGAATGCGCATCCTCCCGTATGTACACCAACCGGGAGTGCTGCTGGTATGTGAAGAATCCGGGGTTCTCCATATGTATGGTCGAGCCAACGTTCGCCCGCCCTTCCAAGAGACTTGTGAGCTGGATATCGGGACTCCATGAAGAGGAGATGTAGAATTTTCTGGATGGTGATGGAGGGAGTGGCGTGCTGGGTGTCGTTTCTTCTGTCAAACGTTGTTGGCGACCACTTGCTACCCAACAAAACAAAACGCATCACTCGCCGAAACTCTACTCTGTAAACTTGGGACGCAGCGAATCTTTTTTCCTGGGAGATCTGAGTACTTACAGATGGATGACATAGCTCGTCCCGTGTAATATGTGATGTTTATGAAGAAGAGCGAGATGAATGCCGAGCTAAATCAACACCAGGTTGTAGGTGTTCTTCAGATGCATCAAGAGCGTGTGCGTCGAAACGCGGAGGCCGTATGGTAAGACTTATTTTGGTACAACTCACAGCAACATCCTCCGTGGCGCAATTGGCTAGCGCGTTCGACTGTTAATCGAGAGGTTGGTGGTTCGAGCCCACCCGGGGGAGTTTCCTTTTTTTTTCCTTCCCTAAAAAAAGGGATCTTTGCCTACAAAACCTTTGCATGACAAAATTAGAAGAACATATTCAATTTCAAAAGTCGCCGATGTGTATGTCGTGTGGTCCACTTCCATACGTCTCTTTGCCATTTGCGCAGAAGAGTGATTCGAACGCGGTAAGCGAAATAAACGATATGTTCTCATACTTTCCACGGAGCGTCAAACGTGATACGTCTCTTCACAGTGAACTAGGTGAAGTTGGGAGGTTATAAATGGTATTGATCCGTTAATACTGTGAAAAGTGGTTTGGCAGTGTCCCGATTCAACTTCAGCCATCATTGCAGTGAGCACGGAGAGGCCCGGTGTGTGGCATCTCGAGCGGTGAGCATGACTTTTAAGAGAGACTACCTAATTTTATCAGTGGTCCAACGCAGCGGATAACCTCCGCTTCGTGGTCCTGCTTTACACGTGTAGTAATCTGCCAAGGCATGACCCCCACTCAGCCGGTTGTCGAGGCTTGGCTACATCAGACCGAAAGCCAAGCTCGAGCTTTAATGCGAACTCTTGATTGGTCGACGAGCTAGAACCCTTTCTTATCCTTTCTTGAGGATATATAGGCGTTTGGGATGCCGGAGTCAAGATGGTGGGAGATCTGATTTTCTATGGCAAAGCATTTGTCATGGCATAGCGAAGCGTGTACTGAGCTGTGGATCGTCTTTTTTCTTCCTCTTTCTACCATGTCCGTTGTTGTTATGCCTCACGAGTCACCTCGTAGGCTCCGTGGCTGGGGGAGATCGATGGGTTGACGAACCAACCTGCCCCTTGCTACAGTTTTTACTGAGCTTAGTAGTGTCCAAGGCTCACACAGTGATCTAAGGTAGACTATTCACCATTCCTCCCGTACTTACCCCAGACATTCACTCGTACAGATGTTGGGATTGTGGCACACAGGAGGCGGCTAATCACCAATTTTTGATTCCAGATTCTAGAAATATCCTAGTGATTTACTTTTGTCTTGCTCCCTAAGACCTACAATATCCTCAGGTTCCAGAATATTTTACAGAATAACAACATCTTACCCCCAAACATTGATAAAGGGCGTTATCACGGTATTCCAGTACTTTCCCGAAAACGACCCCCCAACACCGATTTTGTTGAAGCACAGAGTTCTAAAGACTCATTCACCTGGGATATATGCTTCGCCCAGAATTTTACCTACCTTAGCAGTACCAATGCCCCAAAGTCAGCCACCTGTCAATGGTCATAACCGCTAGTCTACTAAATAACCAAACCCTCGCCATCTCTTTATCACGGTAGAGCCATCAGTCATAACCGACACGCAGCTGTTTAGTTGACAGCCTTCTTGCAATCCACTCGAATCACTACCGAAAGCCCGTGTTATAAGCGACAGTTCAGGAAACGAGTTGGGTTCCATACCTCGCCTCTTTGTAAAACACAACTACCACGACCAAACAAGACGATCATACTGCACATGCATAACATTAACCAGTGTCGACGGTATCTTTGCTGATATCAAAACGGTGTTGTTCCAGCACAACCTGGACACGTCACACACTCTCCCTAGACTCCTATAGACTACTACCGTCCCCCC